CAGTCATTACTATATGCAAACACGGTCCAAATTTATAGTTCCGAAATTCGAAAAAAATGAAATGGCGTTTACCGAAAATATTGCTATTCCTTCGTCTGATCCAGACCATGCCGTCCAAATTCCACTGTTTGATTACGTTAAAAAACTGGATATAAAAGTCAGAGAGCGTATCTAAAGAAGATCTCGACCATCGGAATCGATCCTGTTTTGATAGGTGGGAAACACCTCGAGCCTGATTGCTTACCGCCGGTGGAATCGACTCATTTGCTCTGCTATTTTGGACTCGATTTCTTCCCAGAGCTGCCTTTCACGTTCTCCTGTAGCACGTTTCAGCTCACGACCTCTGCGGCTCTCTCGTCTCGCTTGGCGGCAACTTCAAGATCGGCTTGAAGCTTTTCGACAGAACCACACTTCTGATGACCTAGATTTTGGGTCGGAACCAAATCTGGATCGTAACGATCCCACAGTCTAGCCGCTTATCCGAAGATAAAATGTTTTACAACAGACCCGGCCGTAGAAAGTTTCCGTACTTTTTCTCGTCGACTAGTAATGACTGAAGGTATTCTTGCCATATTAATTCCTTTATCACGACCACTTCGGGTCCCACAGCTAAATATCGCGTATAAAACCATTTTTTTATCATAAACACAACTTCTGGTCATATGTTTACAGGCAGAAGATGTGCACCAATATGGCGGCCAATTACAATGAGATCACGTGACTGAAAACGATCTCTATTTATTGAGATATCTTATGAGCAAGCTGTAATGTTAGTTCCATCCTTATTAGGTTTATAATAATTACTTTTATCCGATAATTTTCCTATTCAATCTTATAGTAGCTCTTTGCATGTTCATTGCTTTGCAGAGAAAGTTTAAATCAGTTTCGTGATTTTGGTCTCCTAACTATCTAGAGATCTTTTTTTTTTCCAAAGGTGAGCGGCTAAAAATTTTTTTCATAAACGTTATGCGTTAACATGTTTTGGATGGAAACTTGCTACTTATAGAGATAACACCCTCCAATATATACCTAGACTTTCCCTAAACAAAACGAGCACTGTGATTGATTGATTCTTGGTCACGTGCCCCTAATCAGACATGGTTTGATGCTACTCTGGTTTACAGGTTTAATGAATGTAACCGAAGAAGTTACAATTCATAGGCCCAACGTTTCGACACTCCTGTCTAGTGCCTTCCTCAGGTGTCTACTCTGGTTTACAGATTTAATGAATGTAACCGAAGAAGTTACAATTCATAGGCCCAACGTTTCGACACTCCTGTCTAGGGGTGATCTAAACGCTGCAACAAGAGGTCCTTTTATACGATCACTAATTAGCTGCCTTTTTTTCTGACGAGGTGTAAATAGGCGTCAGGAAGTAAGCCGCCATCATCACGATTGAAAGGAGCGTGGGCGGAGTTTATATGCCAAGCTTTCAAATAAAGGCGCTGGTGGTAAGGCCGATTGGTGGTGATGATTTTAGACTTATCCCTCCCAATTGTATGGTTCGTTAGGCAAGTGTGTTCCGATAAAGCTGAATTTTCTTTTTTGCCAAAGAAAACCGCTTTTTGATGCTCTTTTAAACGTGTACCAAACTGACGTTTGGTCTGTCCGATGTATTCGTTGTCACCATCGTTGCAAGGAATAGAATAATTGGGGTCGGTTCGTTGTTCTTCTGTGACAGGATCCTTAGGTTTGGCGAAAATATGTCCCAAAGTCTGAAAAGGGTTTTGAGCTACTTTAATGTTGTGGCTATTCAAAATTCTCTTGATGGCTTCCGTAACACCCCGAATGTAAGGAATAACAGCAAAACCAGTCGTTGGTTCCCTTTCATCAAGAGTGCTACTAGTTGTAACTGGTTTTTGGCAGTTACGAAGGAAATTTTTTGTATAGCCATTCGCCTTTAAGACATTAGAAACATATTTCCTCTCTTCAGGCTTCGAATCAAGTGAAGATGGAAGACAGTCAGCCCTCTTAAGTAAAGTTTTGGCTACAGACTTTTTATGGCAAATAGGGTGGTGAGCATCGACTTCGAGGTATTTGTCGGTGTGGGTAGGTTTACGATAGACACTTGTTTCTAAATTCCCCTGAACCCCTCTGGACACATTTAAATCAAGAAAGGGTAAATTTCTATCCTTTTCACGCTCAAGGGTAAATTGGACGGACGGCTCTACTGAATTCAAATGCGACAGGAGGCGCTCCGCTTCATTTCCGGATACCGCAGAAATAACATCATCGACATAACATTTCCAGAAAAAGGGTTTAACCGGTGTAGACAGCAAATGAAACCCGCAAATTCGCAGGAATTTTTGACAGTGTAATCAGTTTTCCCAACAACAGGCGACAAAATTCTCGCAAGATAACCAAGATAACCAGACATTCATGAGAGATAAAACTCTGAACGCTTGTGAAGAATTAGTATCTTTCGACGTTGTTTCGCTCTTCACTAAATCCCAGTTGATCTTGCCGTTAAGCTTGCGGAGGAGAGACTCAGAGAAGATGCCTCCTTAGGACAAAAATCTTCTTTACCTGAGGAGGATATTATCCATCTGCTGTCTTTTTGCCTCAAAACCACGCAATTTGCATACAACGGCACCTACTATCAACAGATTTTTGGCACAGCTATGGGTTCGCCCGTCTCTGCTGTCTTTGCCAACATGGTAATGGAAGACGTGTAACAAGGGGCCTTAGCCACTTCACCTTAGCCACTTCACCTTAGCCACTTCACCGGTTAAACCCAGCAACGACTGTGACAACCAATACATCGGACAGACCAAACGTCAGTGTGGTACAAGGAGCATCAAAAAGCGGTTTTCTTTCCCAAAAAGAAAATTCAGCTTTATCGGAAAACACATGCCTAACCAACTATACCATTGGGTGGGATAAGTCTAAAATTATCACCACCAATCGGCGTTACCAACAGCGCCTTTGTTTGGAAGCTTATTAAATCCGCCAACGCTCCTTTAAATCGTGATGATGGCGGCTTACTTCCTGACGCCTATTTACACCTCGTCAGAAAAAGGGCAGCTAATTAGTGATCGTATAAAAGGACCTCTTGTTGCAGCGTTTAGATCACCCCTAGACAGGAGTGTCGAAACGTTGGGCCTATGAATTGTAACTTCTTCGGTTACATTCATTAAATCTGTAAACCAGAGTAGCATCAAACCAAGTCTGATTGCCCACTTGGTTGCTATGTGAACTTTAATATAATTTTGCAGTTGTTGCCCGCGCGCCGAATACAACAGCATGATTTTGACAAATGATTGTTAAGAGAAAGTCTAGATATATATCAAAGCACTTAATGTCTGGTTCCTCCGGAAACTAATTAGTTTTGTTTCCTTGTTGGACTCTCGGGAAAACAAAACTAAATATTTCCCGCGGGACCATACATTAAGTGTGTATTGATATTGTAAGGAGAAACTACATGTTAATCGCTTCTGAGATGATCGAAATTAATATGATCCCGTATGTTATTTGAGGAATCTTAAGAGCAACTTGGAAAACAATTATCCTTCCATCTTAGGTCTTTTTTCTATTTTGATGATTTCTTCTCAATAACCATGCAACTAAAACGTTATTACACCAGCTATTTCCATTTACGTTTGTTTGTCTGGGAAAGTCTCATTTCATTTTCTTAATTTTGTTTTCATTAGTCACGCTATCAGGCACCAATGTAAAAGGCATGTTCTGTTTCCAAAAGGTGAGCAGTTTGTTTTCTTTAATTTCTGCATTTTTATTGCTTCCTCAGTTTCATTTCCATGAATGAAATTGACTTTATTATTTTACAAAACAAAAACTTTGGAGAAATTGGTATATGACTTACTGAAGTAACGCGTATGTAGTTGAATGAAATAGAAAGATTCTCCTTCGTCTGAAAAACAAAGCATCATGTAAGCGGTTGAAACGTTGGATAGAATTTTTCTCAAGTTAATTATGCGAGTCCCTAAGACTGACATGCCGGCTTGATCGCTATGGGACAAACAGATAGAAATACCAACACAAATCTTGCACAAATATCTTCATCTGGGCTCAACTGAACAGTTTATACTTCGTTTAATTGTAGAATGTGATTTTTTTTGTTGGATTTATGTCCATCAAATTTTTCCATCACGCAACGAAACTAGATCTACGTCACGCACAGGTGGCCCAAGCTCCAGCTGTGAGATGATGATCTTGCGCAATAACTGTCATGGCTGAATTATAAGACCGCTTTCTTTAATGAAAAGAACCCATTTTAGCGAGTTGTCCATTTCGAGGTTTTTCTTATGTACGTATAAAACTTCGAAATGGACAACCCGCTAAAATGGGTTCTTTTCATCAAAGTAAGTGGTCAGATAACAAGTGATACGCTGTGGAAGTAAGGTAGGTATTTTATTGAGAATTTGACGCATTTTTTAATTCCTTAGAGCGGTCGTAAATATTCCGATACAAAGTCTTAAAATTCCGCCATGACCGTCTGTTATTGCGCAAGATGATCATCTCACAGCTGGAGCTTGGGGCTGCATGTGCGTCACGTAGATGGATATCTCCAGAGCGATTCAAGATGTATTGATTTGCCTCGATTTTGAAACAAATAACAACAGAAATCAGAGCTGAGTTAGTCCCTGGTTTTTGAAGGGTAGCAGAGTGAGGATCCTGATCGTGTTTCACGAACGAACTTTTTGGAAAATTCCCGCGTCATGTTTAAAAACTCGAACATTTATCAGTGTAAGTTTTTTTTAAGCTTCCTTTTTTTGTTGATTCTTTCTCACGACAACAAACAGGAGAGAGCCGTTATGAGTGACGCTGCAAAAATCCTAAAATCAGTCCAGATAGGTTTAAATGTCGTCATATTTCTTCTGAACACTAATCGAGGCCTACAAGCGACTGAGTTATTTAATGAATGTCACCTTATCTCCGATGTACTATTCAATGCGTACTATGCCATCTCTGGTTACACGGATGCGAAAGGACATGCCACCAAACTTCTTGACACATTTAACCATGCTTGGGGACTAATCTTCGATCTGGGAGACAAATATAACGCACAGAGCCGGTTTGTAGAGGCAAAGCAACTCTTTAAATGCGCACTCACCATCCTGAAAAGAATTGGTCACAAAAGAAAAGAAGCACAGACTCATCAGAGACTTGGAAATGTCTATGCTAGCCTCAGTAAATATCAAAAGGCTAAAGAATATCACGAGAAAGCTCTTGCCATCGTGATAGAAATTGGCGACAGAGAAGGAGAAGGAACAACATACGGGAGCCTCGGAACTGTGTTTCATTTCCTTGGCGAATATCAGAAGGCTAAAGAATATTACGACAAAGCACTTGCCATCGCGATAGAAATTGGCGCCAGAGGAGGAGAAGGAACAACCTACGTGAACCTTGGAAGTGTGTTTCATTCCCTTGGCGAATATCAGAATGCTAAAGAATATCACGAGAAAGCACTTGCCATCGCGATAGAAATTGGCGACAGAGGAGGAGAAGGAAGAGGATACGTGCACCTCGGAAATGTGTTTCATTCCCTGGGCGAATATCAGAATGCTAAAGAATATTACGAGAAAGCACTTGCCATCGCGATAGAAATTGGCGACAGAGGAGGAGAAGGAAGAGGATACGTGCACCTCGGAAATGTGTTTCATTCCCTTGGTGAATATCAGAATGCTAAAGAATATCACGAGGAAGCACTTGCCATCGGGATAGAAATTGGCGACAGAAGGGTAGAAGGAAAAACATACTTGAACCTCGGAACTGTGTTTCGTTCCCTTGGCGAATATCAGAATGCTAAAGAATATCACGAGAAAGGACTTGCCATCGCGATAGAAATTGGCGACAGAAGCACAGAAGGAAAAGCATACGGGAACCTCGGAACTGTGTTTGATTCCCTTGGCGAATATCAAAATGCTAAAGAATATCACGAGAAAGCACTTGCCATCGCGATAGAAATTGGCGACAGAGGAGGAGAGGGATTAACATACGGAAACCTCGGAAGTGTGTTTCATTCCCTTGCCGAATATCAGAATGCTAAAGAATATTACGAGAAAGCACTTGCCATCGTGATAGAAATTGGCGACAGAGGAGGAGAAGGAACAATATACGGGAACCTCGGAGGTGTGTTTTATTCCCTTGGCGAGTATCAAAATGCTAAAGAATATTACGAGAAAGCACTTGCCTTCGTGATAGAAATTGGCGACAGAGGAGGAGAAGGAACAATATACGGGAACCTCGGAGGTGTGTTTTATTCCCTTGGCGAGTATCAGAATGCTAAAGAATATCACGAGAAAGGACTTGCCATCGCGATAGAAATTGGCGACAGAAGCACAGAAGGAAATGCATACGGGAACCTCGGAACTGTGTTTGATTCCCTTGGCGAATATCAAAATGCTAAAGAATATCACGAGAAAGCACTTGCCATCGCGATAGAAATTGGCGACAGAGGAGGAGAGGGATTAACATACGGAAACCTCGGAAGTGTGTTTCATTCCCTTGCCGAATATCAGAATGCTAAAGAATATTACGAGAAAGCACTTGCCATCGTGATAGAAATTGGCGACAGAGGAGGAGAAGGAACAATATACGGGAACCTCGGAGGTGTGTTTTATTCCCTTGGCGAGTATCAGAATGCTAAAGAATATTACGAGAAAGCACTTGCCATCGCGATAGAAATTGGCGGCAGAAGTGAAGAAGGTGCAGCATACTGTAGACTTGGAGCGGTGTACATAAATCTTAATAAAAATCGGAAAGCTGAAGAACATTTTGACAAAGCAGTCGGCGTCAGTATTGCAATTGGTGACAGAGAAATGGAAGCCATCGCTTTTGCAGGTTTGTCATGTGTCTCTGATTCTGTAAACGACAGTCAGAAGGCAAAAGAACATTGTGAGAAGGTGCTTACAATCAGCAGAGAATGTGGCAATAGAAAGCGCCAAGCAGAACTATACCTACACGTTGGACTTCTATCTCAATCAGTTGGTGAATATGATAAGGCAGCATATTATTTACAGAAAGCTTGTTCCATAAGCAGCCAAATTTGAGACAAAATGACTGAGTTTCAATGCCTTATCTTTTTTACAAAGTTAAAGATATCGCAGTCGGAGGTTGTGGAGGCAATGGAATATCTTCTCCAAGGTATTGAAAAATATGAACAAATCAGAACTCTTCAGAAAGGAAACAGTGGATTTGAAATTTCTCTATTAGAGCAACGCGGTACTTTTCCCTACAAGTTACTCACTCACCTCCTTTGCGATACGGGAAAATTTCGAGATGCTCTCTATGTTGAGGAGCTGGGACGAGCAAGAGTCCTCGCAGAACTCATGGCAGACAAGTACTCCGCTGAAAGCCACATCTCAGCTAATCCACGATCATGGTTCGGGATTGAAAACATCGCGAGAAGAGAAAGTAACTGTGTGTTTTTGTACATTTCGTATGAAGATCGGCAGTGAATCTCTTCACCAGGCCGTTCAGTGGTTGAGAAGCAATGGATTTTCCAAACCTTCCCAATGGGCTCCGTTTGTGTTGATGGGGGACAGCGTGACATTTGATTTTATGAAAAAAGGGTAAGTCTGATTATAATGAGCAATTTTCTACGATAAACCAATTAGCACATTTAACCTGTTCAGGTCACTCAGTTGTCCTAATTTTGTTTTTATCTAGTGCTCGGAGCCAGAATATTTCCACGAAAGGCTTTCTAAGATTGGCTTTGAATTAGCGTTTCTTTTGTATGCAATATACTCAGAAATAATTATTCAAGGTCGATACGATACCACACGTTATGACGATGAAGGTGACTTGAGAAGCTGAAAAAGTTCACTTTATCTGTAAGATAAAAAAATAACAATAAATTGACAATCTTAAAGTCACTTTCGTATCAAGCACGGTATGTTCGACAAGTTTGGATAATCATACCCAATGGCATTGAAGAAGAAAGTAATTTCTTCAATTGAAAAATCTGTTCCGTTTACTTTGAAGATGAAATAGCGACAAATTTATGTTTTTTTTTAGGAAAGAAGAATTCGAGGAGGACAACAACGAGGCGGAGAAGAAACAGAGTGACTACTGATCCTACACAAAGATTTTTCGTCCTAAATATTGTCGTTCAATGGACACTGGTATTACTTTGCGAAGACATTTTTAATCTTTTTATTTAGTCAGGTAGTAGATTTTGCGTGCTTTTGTAGACAGGGCTTAATCGAAAGGCAGCGACGATGAAACCTGCAATTAAGTCGTTTGATCTATTAAGTATACTATCAATAGGGAACTGCAATAAATTGGGATGGGAAAACTGAACGCAGGAAATAGGCTCAATGTATAAAAATATGAGAATGTTGGCAAAGTTTCGTCAAAACTCAAAATTAATCCTTGATTTAAATCATTATAATTCTGTTTTCAATTCTTCCGTTAGACGCACACGTGATCATTAAAGAGTGATTAAGACTGTTCACAGGTGCAGGAAATAATAACAAACTAACAGAAGAGGGAAGAAAAAGTGCCGAGATACTGAAGAAACAATCCAAAAAAAAAGAGAAGGTAATTATGTAAAAATCAGACAGAAAAGAGAAAAATGCTTGAGAATTACCGCAAAAATCAGACAGCTTGAGAACAGGGCGCTACATATTAATCTAAAAGTTAAGTGGAGAAGAGAACAAACAGAGTACAATATACTAAAAGAAAAGTATTAACAAATAGAGAAGAAGAGAAACGGTGAGCGAATTATTGAGATAAAATTAGGAGAAAACATTGCGCGAGATACTAACGCCAAACAGAAGAGTACGAACAGTTCGTAGGATATGAACGTGACAATCAGCCAGAATTAAGGAAGAGAACAGAGGGCTAGATTCTAATATAGGGAAGAAATTCAAGTTGAAACAAACAGCTAGGTGGATATTAGATTGGAAATCAAACAGAGACGAGAAAAGCATTGTGTAAGATTTGAACGAAATTTTAATCAGAGGAGAGAACGAGCTATGCAGAAGATTCAACTAAACAAAACTACCAAACAGAGCAATGAAAAAAAAACAGTTCTCAATATAATCGCAACAAACAAAGTTAAAAGAAGAAACGGTGCCTGGACAAACAGTAAAATGCATGCAAGAGTTATTTTTTTCGGCTGGGTGAGTTGAGGTGGGACACTGTTCAATCAGGTCGAAACGTGAGACTGAACTACAAAACTTTTTTCTGCAAATTTTCAACGTTTACTTTTTAAACGTTAATACTAGGAAAAGTCGCGGAGTCAATTAGAAACTTATTTTACAGCAAAATTTCAACATATTTCGTTTGATACATTAATACTAGGAAAAGATGCTGTTATTTAATATTTCAGTGCGCCAATCGATGGCTCAGCTTTCCAGGAAGTCAACAGTACACTAGGAAAAGACGTCACGTTGTAGAAATAGAAATGGAGATAGAGATGGATATAGTATTTCCACTCAAACCGATAAGGAAAAGAAATATTGCCAAAGGTTGATGTTTTAGTGGATCATGTTTTGCTTGGATTTCAAAAGGCTGAATCAGGAATTTTAGCAAGATGGAAAGCGTCCTTGATTGTATTTGAGGTTTTGTTTCATCATAACTGAAGTTGAAATAAGGATGATAGAGGAATGCTTGATAATACACACGGATCTTTTTGCTGCGGAGCATTTTAAACACCTGGCCCCGGTTGTTCAAAGGATGGATAACATCTTATCCGCTGGACAAACCGCTATTCAGCGGATAAATTTTACCCATGGCGTTATGTCCGTTGTTCAAAGTATGGATGGGGCTATCCACTCGCTGTCCAGTGGATAAAAATATTCATCCTTCGAACATCCGGGGCCTGCTGGCATTTAGAGAGCTACACCAAAGAAAGCTGAATGAGGACTTTGACGAACATACGAGGTCCAATGGCCAAATCGCATCGTATTTTATACTGTATTTTATCCCGTATTTTACAGGCCACATAAATGAGATTCGGTAGCATATATTTTCATTGTAAAGTAATGAACCATTACTTGGAAATTAAAGCACTAAGTTAAAATACAACGCACATGTGAGAGTAAGCATATCTTCTTTATTTTTTTCGGTTTTATTCTGAATTCGTTGCGATTATCTATGGTGGTAAATATGTTGTGTTTCCTCTGTTGAGGAAATTTTTCTGAGTATCAAAAAAAATATGCAAACCAAACTACAATGAAAAGAAGACAAAAATAGAAAAAACAATATTACATCATTGTGGGTGATAAGTGGCGACTGTTTTCTTGTCTCACATTTGATTGGTCGAGAGGTTATGGGGAAGAAAAACATAAGAACCCACTGCTACCCAGGGATTCGACACTCAAGGGAAAAAAAGAACCCTCAGTCGAACGAAGCCAATGAGAACGCAAAATTGTCACATGCAATCGCCACTTTGGGCGGGAAAACGCGAGTGACCGAGTCGTGACTGGTTTTAATGCCGCATTTGATTGGTTGAGAGGTTGGCAAGAGTTTTCCGGGCCAATCACAGCGCGGGGAAAAGCAAAACCTATGCAATCATTGATTACTTTTTGAGCCTCAACCAAAGGGGCTCTAGGTGGCAGGTTTCCAACCTACTGCAATTCCCGCTCCGCTACGTCCCAGGTTCATACTGCTAACCAACTTCCAGCAATCTTGTTCAGGGACGTATTCCTCGAGAGTGTTCAAAAACCCTTCTCCATCATAACCTCCGACTACATAAAGTTTCCCGCACAAAACAGCCGCGCTAAGTGCACTTCTCCTGTGTATCAGAGGCGAAACAGTTATCCATATGTCCGAGGCTGGGCTATAGCGTTCAACACTATTTAGTTGTGTTTCGCCGTCATATCCACCGATAGCATACACGAAGCCATTCAACGAGGCTGCTCCTGCGCCACTACGACGCTCGACCAGCGGAGACACTAATTTCCACAGATCAGTATCCACGTCATAACATTCAACGCTGAAATGAAATTCAGAAGAACATGTCCCTTTTCAAAATGAACGGGTGTGGGGGGTGGGAAGGGTGCGTGGATAAAGGGCTAGAAAATATCTTCCAGGGGAGCTTGATAAAGGGTCTAAGCATGAAAGGATTAGTCTTTTCTAATTAATTATCATCACATCAGAGGGTGGTAGAGAACTACCATCCATTTGAAAACAAAGTACTACTACGAAGCAACGAACGAGACTTTACGGTAACAAAGCTTTTAGCCAATGCACTTGTCCACTCATGAGTGAATGTAAAGAGATCTTTGGAATAACAGCGAAGCAACAAACGTAACTCTCGAATAACAGAGCTTTCAACCAATACACCTGTCCACTCACGAGAGTGTATGTAAAGATGTCTTTGACTACATTTGGTTTTAATCCCCAAAAAAGGAAACACGCACGACTTCATCATTGTGCAGAAGAATTAGTTATTATACTGCTTATATGAAGCGAATCCTGAGTTCTAATTTGCTACCTGGGCGACTTCGTCAAACCAGAAAAACGCAAAGAAAAACAACTTGGCCGATTTCTAGCCATCTAGACCGAGCAAGCTTGGTCAATAACGCATACATATCGACATTCCTATCTTAGTTTGTAGTATGCAGGAAGTTTATCATCAAGGACTTTGTTAAACTGCCTACCACAAATCTCCTACAGTTCATTAAGTGGTAGAGCATATGGAGTGCTGATCGCAAGGTTGTATTATCGACTCTTATTAGGAACATTACAGCATACTAGTGTCATTCACTGGATAAAAACAACTTACACTAAAGCGAAGGCTTACTTTGCGCTTACTTCGTGAAAAACAACATCACACTCAAACAACTATTAACATTCTCTTACCTCCTGAGCCTGTGTCTTCCATCAAATCCTCCTGCGGCATAAAGCTTTCTATCAAGTACAGCAACAGCTACACCTAGCGAAAAAAAAACAGCATCCGTTACAGCACTTGAAAAAGAGAATGTGCATCTCCTTGGCCAAAATTTTCAAAGTTTTTTTAGGCCATCCTAGTTCCAGACTTCATTTATCATTGTCTCTTTTGTGCTTTTCTATCTTAATAAACTAATATTTTGCAGTCATTTACAATCTTCTCCATCCTCTTTTACTCTTTTTCCTTCCCGGTTTCTTATCGCCTTTTTTGTGTTTTTCTATCTTTCTAAACTAATATTTCATAGTCATTTACAATTTGTGTCGATCTACTCCATCCTTGGCCATACTGGCTTGTACTTGGTTTATTATTCCCTCTTTTGTTTTATTCCTACATTACTAAGCACATTTCGGTATTTTTGAGCCAAATTTAGTTTTTCAATGCACAAAAAGCAGCTCAAACACTTGACCCCCAAAGGAAAGGACTGAGAGTAAGAAAATTTCAATAATATGGTGACTGAATTCAACAAAAATATTGCTGAAAAGCCGTGACAACATTTTTTTAACAGGCCCCCTTTTTTTATTTTATTCAAAGTTGCCAAACAACAGACTAATAACAATAAAAATGGTAATTACAAGACAAACTATTCACCAGAAAAAAGTGAAAATGAAACTCTGATAGTGTTGTATGCAAACATGTGGCCAAATTGGTGACATTTTCTACAAATTTGAGCAACAGATTTTTTCCTCTTGCCAACTGGTTACCCAAACAGTTCCAGTTTTGGAGAGGTGTATTAATCTACAACCTTGCCCAAAACCTACCTATGCGAGGAAAATTAAGTGACATAACTGTTGTCCATTCATCTTGTTTGACATCATATTTCTCCACTGATGTGTGACATGTGTTCCCATTTCCTCCACCAATTGCATAAATACAGTCATCTACCACTGCCACGCCCAACCTGTTGCGTGGTACACTGAGGGGTGCCATAGGCTTCCACTCATCTCGCAGAGGATCATACCTGTCTACGGAAGGTGTGTCTATGTTCCCAGCTGGGGTGTTGTTGCGACCACCAATTATATACAGCATGTTATCTGCAAATGGAGGGTTATGCTAATGACTGAGTCAACATACAAGACTGAATTATTTAACTCTTTACACCTTAATATCAGTATGCATATTCTCCATACTGTTCTCTATACATTTCTTCTAGTACTGGTAAGGAGAATTGAACAATCAAGAGTTTCTTTAGTTAATGATCATTTCCTTGATTCTCATGAGCTTAATGTGTGATTCAGCAGGAGATATTGTAGGGAGAACTTAGGTGTTAATCACTCTTAGGGGTCAAAGGGTCAGCTGGCAGAGCTTAGGTCTCTGTAGCTTGATGCAACCAAAGTTTACCTATCAGTTAACTATTCCACTCCCAGGAGTGATCGAGACATTTTTTCTCTTTTTATTATCAATAGAATATCAATTTGGCAAGTGATGAGAATAGTAAAAAATATCAACAAGGGGATTATCATTTGATATCACACTCAGTTTTCACAACAAAGTTAAAAGGCTGTGTATAGGAGACAGGAGGAGATTGGCATTGTGTAAACCAGGATCTAATACAAACTCTTTACTGATCTGGAGTTCAGCAAAATACCATTGAGCTTCAAGACAATATACTTCATCTATGTATAACAAGTTTCCTGGATTCTGCTGGAATCAGGAATGCAGGTAAAGCTGATTTATTGCCTAGCTACAATCACTGCAGCTCAGTGGTAGAGAACTGAACCATAAGATCTGTCAGTCTGAAAATTGAATCCTTGGAAGACTCAAACTTTTCTCTTTGTCCTACATGACAAATGAATAATATATTCCTTTGATAATTGAGAATTTACAAGAAGCTTGTTACTTTCACATGACCTTACAAGCTTGTCACTAACAAATTACCATTGGGTATAAATAAAGGTCATCTATATCTCTATCTATCTATCTTCTTAATACAGTATTTATCATACCAACATAAGCTGCCCCAAGACCACTCTTAGGCACAGATAGAGGGGAGAGAATTGTCCATTTGAGAGTCAGAGGATCAAAACACTCCAAAACATCCAGAGATCTTCTTAAGTACCCCCCTGCAAAGTACATCACAGTTGGACCAGGGGGTCGTCGTTTGTGAAATGTACTAAGAGTAGAAATTCTCTTTTTTTCCTGCAAATTAATAAATGACTTTTAATGACTCAGTTTGCAACATTCACAAATATAAGAGGGGTAGTATACTGACCTCAGAATAAAGGACTTATGACTTGTAGACTTCAAAGGTTTGATCTTTTAAGGAAAATTACCCCACCCTTTGTTGGGGTAGTTAGGGGACAAACCTATATTAGACCTGCACAGAGAGAAGTAATTGGCCTGTCAAGAGATATCCATCCACCACAGGCAACAAGTCCAACTAAAATGCTAAATTAATTTCAGCTCATTACATCTAAAGAGTTATTTCACAGTCACATTTTATTAGAAATTTTTTCAGATCCAAATAATGTTTTTCTGTGAACTTGTCATGTCTGTAATTTCTAGGCAAAAGCACTTTTACTCAATAAAGTATATTCATCATGAAAGTTTTAGTCATTAGCCAGATGGAAACTATAATAATAATAGCAAAGATCTCTCATGACAATCTGTTTAGCTTGCAAGCAAGCTGTCATGTTTGGGTTTTGCCTAACAGCCCTTTTTCCGGAGAGAGCTGCCTTAGTTACACCATTGCCAGCAGTTTATGGAAAAAGTTATTAATTAAAAACTCCTGTATATTTTATGGTGTAATCCCTCCAAAAGGGTGTGATTTTTGAGCTGTTTTGGTCTGAACTCTGGTATAGGTGCTTGTGGCATGGGTATTGGACAGGTCCATTATAATGTGAGAGATATCTAGTACATATAGTTATCACAACTCAGCAAAGAATCCAGAGAAGTCATTCCTGGAGGTTAAGTAAATAGGAAAATCATACTTTAAAATACTCACTGAGAAGGCCTCAATCAATGTTTCTTTAAACGCAGATCTCATGCCCTGTTCACAACACTGGATGATCGAGTTAAGGTAAGAATTTGAAACAAAAGGCACTCGTATATGTTTCAGTAGATCCTTCAGTTCCTGTGTTCTGTTCGTCAGATCATGAGTTACCCATCGTAACAAGGCTGCAAGAACCTAGTAGATGACCATAATAATTTAAGAATTTGATATGAATCATTTTTTAAGTCAACTGATACTTTATGTATTTGCCTCACTGAAATTTACTGAATTCTTTCACCCTTTACAGTGACTAACATCTATTTTCTCCTTACAATATCCCCCCTCAGTCACATAGTATTAGGTCACATGGATAAGGGAAATGTTTATCAAAAAAAAAAGATTTATATCTTTAAAAAAATTCTCTTTGTTAGCACCTTAGGAAATGTACAGAGAACAGTATGGAGAATATGCATACTGATGTTAGGGTCTAAAAAGGTCAATGCAGAGAGTCAAAGGATGAGATAATCATTGATTCAAACCTCACCTCATCTTCCGACTTCACAAAAAGTTCATCTCGACTTATTAAGTCGACCAAGCGGTCCTCGGGCAAGGTTTGAAATTCTTCACTTTCTGAGACTTGTAAAAAGTGGCGAAAAATAAACTTTTCTGCTGCTTTACTTAAATCCAAACAGCCATAAATCTCTGAAAAGTCCTTTATACCGATACAGTTCGATGGATCAAGTTGCGATTGTATAAAGTCACAACAGGCTTTTTTAACGGGACAGATTTGTAATATACAGGATACCGGTAGCACGTCTTGAACATTTTCTTCAGTGATTCGAATCTGCGCTGTGTAAGCGAACTCGATCAAAAGTTCCACACTATTCGGATCCATCGATTTTAGTGTTATGCTGTTTTGGCGACTTTCCAATACGTCGCTCGTAAACATGGCGTAAAAATATGGACTAAATGAAGCCAAGACAACCTTGTGAGCGTAGATTTCCAGGTCTCCTACGTGAAGAACGACATCACATAGTTCCTTCTTTTTTCGTAACTCGTTCATGACACTGAAAGTAACTTTCATATGTTCCTCTAAGAACACATTTTCTTCTATAGGATCCATGATCAAACGGTTGGCATCCACTGATGTAGTATATGACTTCTTAGTTTCTCATCGGAAACTTGTCTTATTAGATTGCTCTGAAGTGTTTTGTTTCCAATAGTGATTGGTAGTATCCGCTGTGCTTGCTAGAACGAGGACGAGCGCTCTATTTTGAGCAAGCGCAGTGAGGTAAATCAACAATAAAGTTCGTTCCCAGAGTCTTTCTTGCTATAGGAATGGGGACTCTGGGAACAAGTTTGACGAATTTACGACCGGCAAAGGGTCAGATTTCTGTTGTGAATTGCCCCTTTTCACGGCAGATTTCGACATGAGGAGGAATTTTTCAGGTCCGGATGAGGTTTTGACAGGAAGTCCTACTCAGTGTTTTGTTGAAAAAGCTAATTTTCCGACTCTTTCTTGCAGGCGCGAGGTTTGAAAATCTCGACGAACCCACCCCCCTCGATCTGAGCCGTGGTAAGTAAAATATTTAGTACTCAAAAATGTCTGTTTTGCAAACATCGCTTATTTTGCGTTTGCGTGTTAACTTTGATAAACCCATCCAGCTCTATCTAAAAGCAGAAAATTTAAATGTTTCAGTTCACTAGTGCTTTTGTCTCGCTCTGTGTTCAAGAGGATTTGATCATTCAGTTACCCAGAGTTTGATTGGTGTAATAAATTAGATCGACTGGCCAGCATTGATTAATTTTTCATTCTTCACCTAATTCGTCGTTATACTTTACAAAATAACTATAAATGTACATATTTTTCATTTTACAGTCCATCAATTACAATACTCTTTTGTAGTGGTCAACATAAATTTCGGTTCTTTGACATGCGGGAAATTTTACTACGGGTTGTAGTACTGCACACTGGGTTGTTTTCTTTCTTAAAACATGCTTTTGGTGAAGATCACCAGCTTCTTATAGCTATTTATTGCCTTCTATGCGTATACGTTTGAGAAAGAGAGAGAGCTAAGAAGGTATTGTAAACAACCGTAAAATACGTTTACATCTCCGAATATCACCGGGCACTGGGCTTACTGATGTGTTTTTGGTATGGGGGTGGGGGTGGGGACATCAATGATAGTCTTACAGATGGGGAGCTTGGGGAATTATGGGAGGGGTGGTATGGGTGTGAGGAAAATTTGACTTTTTATTGGAAAATATATCTGGTATAGTGCTTCAATGCAAACTAATTTTTTTTTTCTTAATTCTAAAGATCTTTTTAATGCTCTTAAACTGTTTTAACCCATAAACTCCCAGAAGTGATTATCATGTAACTTCTCCCTAGGATATCCATACATTATCCAGTAAACAGGTAATGAGAATACTCAAACTTATCAGGTAGAAGTTTTTATTTTGATCTGACACTAGATTCTCACAACTAATTCACAAGGAAATGTGTAACAGCTTGAGGGGAGAATTAATAATCAGATCCTGTGATTCAAAGGGTTAAATACTTTGAATTGTGGTGAAGAAATGTGGGAATGTTTTAAGTACATAAAAACAGAGAGGAAGTGCCTATAGTCTGAGAGGTAAATCAAAGATTCTGTTGGCCATTCTTATATTTTGTTTTAAACAGATCCTGCGGATAACATGAAAGATCTCTTAAACCAAATTTCCAGCAAAGAAATGATGTCAACAACTAAAAGAATGGGTTATATTAATAACTTCACTAAGGTACATGTGTACAAAGCAGCTTGATTTGTTATTTCTTTTTCTTTCTGTGGTCATTATCAATTGATCTGAAAACAGAGTAAACGAGAAAAAGTCAAATCAATTTGAAAAATTTTCTGAGCAAAAAAAAAATTGCTTGTCTCATTTCTCTAGTGTATAGATTCTACCTCAAGTTTTTTATTTGATTTTTACACCTTAAACACCAGAAAACATACACAAATAATCCAAGTTTTGCTGAATGAAAATTCAAAACAGAGAAATGAAAAAAAAAAACAAAACAAAACTCAAGTTCCCATAGGTTTCAAGTTTTCACTAACTTCAATTTTCAATATGCTAAATTTGAAGTAAAAAACATGTGTTCAAGGAGAGGGGATTCTTTAACATTTTCAGCAGGAGGGCAACTGGTTCTCACAGATGGGCAAAACATTTTGACCTGAACTTCGCTATAAGATAAACTTCCCTCTGGTATTTCCTCTGATTTTGCCTACTTGGTCAAACCAGGTTGGCAAAGCTGTCCTCACAACCGGCAGTGTGTAACCTTTATTGAAACCCCTGCTCCAGCAGTTTCTTGAAGAAAACAATTTTAAACACTGTTTAACAAAACAGCTTTAAAACATGTTTAGGCTTTGATATAAACGAGATTAAGTTAGTGTTTAGGAAAAAAGTGTTATGGCGCTGGAAAGTGAATTTCTTAGCTGCAAGGAAAGGCTTGTTACTCTTGGTGCAGTTAAGAAATTTGAAATCAATATACTTATTGATCAGTAATCATGTGTCATTCTCTTTCTCTGTCTAGTTAATTCAAAATGTAGGTGAGAATGCCAACTTTGGTTACTCTCTGGAAGACATCATCAAGTGGTAGGTTTTCAGTAAAAATATTTTTTTGATCATCACAAACATTGATTTACTGTTTTGAGGTATGGGGAGTTTACTGTACATGAAACACCAAAAGCACCAAGAATGCTAAAAAACACCCTAAAAGATTAACAAAAAGTGTAAAAAAAAAACAATTTTTGGCTTCATCTATATTCACTCTATACCCTTACTCTAGCATTTTTTTTTTTTTTTTTTAGGAGTAGATACATGACTGTATAATGGTTGTTGGCACTGTTTTGATAGATGATGTTTTCAGTTTGAAGATGTTCAGTAACTTTATTTTATGTCTTTTTCATACTTTTGTCTTTAGCTTAATGCCTCCACTAGTTTCAGCTGCTAAAGAACTCAGAGCAGCTGGACTGCGAGCATTTCGTCATCTCTTTTATGATGAAAAAACTCTGTCTAAAATACTTGAATACAGGATTGACATTTTCATTGTCAGGTAACAGCTAGCTTATAATCATGTCAGGACTTTAACATATTGTGAACAAAATGCTAATTATTGGATACATACTTGTACCTTAAGAGTGAATGGTGCCTTTAGTTTGTGCTGATTGGTGAGTTCACATGCGATAAGCAAAACACTAGTCATCTCAAAGTGGCTGCAGACAGACAGATGGCTTCCTGTTTGGCTACTTATATCGGGATTTCAAAACAAGCTGGTAACCAACAGAGTTCTGCCAGTTACTTAATAAGATGTCACTGGTTACTCCAATCAAAATACTTTCTTTTTGGCCCTAAGCCCTTTAATTCGCTGAAGTGATAAACATGAAACTTCTCCCTACAATATCCATACATAATTCAGTAAACAGGTAATGAGAATATTCAAACTTATCAGGTAGAAGCTGCTACCTTAATCTAGTACCAAGTTCTCATAACTAATTTACAAGGGAATGTGTAGCAGCTACAGGGGAGAATTAACAATCAGATCTTGGGAGTTAAAGCATTAATGAACTTTTCACCATCACCTTCTTTTGCCAGGTCTGATGCCTACTTCAAAACATTTTGAAAACCCTCTACTTACAGTCACCATTGAGAACATAAAACATTCCACATATCTTTGTCAATGTCATAAAATTCATGTTTGGTTGAGATGATTGAAATGAAAAACAAAGCAATGGCATCATTATTATCAGGAATTATGGTATTACTTGAATATGTTTTTTTTAGTTTTATTTGTTTTCCTTTCACTAGATCAATGGACATGGTTCACAATGCCTTTGAAGTGGAACGTGTTCAAGCATTAAGATTCATTCGCAAGGTTTGTAACAACTCTTACTCGGGGATTTCAAAACAAGCCAGTGACTGCTGGAGTTCCACTGGCTGGTTACTCTGGTCAAATAGTAATCTTTTGGCCCTTAACAAACATTTCACAGTTGCTTACTTTTGCCAAGTCTGAACCTATTTCAAAATATTTTGAAAAACCTGGTTACTGTTAACAGCTGCCAACCTTTTTTGTCATTATAATTGTATGCCATTGCATGTACATGTACTGAAAGTGTTGTGTTCTTAAGAAGTGTAAATGTCACAGTGCCTTTCTTTGACTATAAATGACTATAAATGGGTAAAGTACTTTACAAATGAGATAAATGCTGAGAATGACCTCTGATGGGCTGGCATCCCATCCCAGGGGGTAGGGGATGGTATCATATGGTACCCCTAGTTTCTCCCTCCTATGGAAACAGGAAAAAACTTGCTCAGACAGGATGGGCATCTTTGCGCATAAGTATACTTCGCCTTTTTTACTGTCAGTAATAGTTCAGGACTTTATGTCTTTTCTTTGCCAGATAATTGCTGTGAGTCCTCATCTGTGTCCCATGTCAATGGCTGCAACTCTTGTGTCCATTGGTAATGATGAAGGTGATGATGCTGACAGATTACGGAAAGCTTGTGTGGCTACCCTCTGTGAGCTTGGTAAGTAGCAGCTGAAAATCTTGTTCCTTTTATATTGTTTCTGACAAGGTAATAACTAAAAGCAAGTTGAGCATTGTGCAACAGTACCATCAATATTAGCCCTTCCAGAAGTGACCAACAAATTATTTATCTATGCAATCTAGACATTGCATTGTCAAGCAGACAAGGGTTGAGGAGTAAGAAAAATAATAATTTGTAATGTGATACCTAATTCTCAGAAATGATATGGTAAGAAATGTATAGCAGACAATTCAGAGAACTGATCTCATGATAGTGAGATTTGATTTGCCACAACTAGAGTTAACTTGACACTAACATCAGTAGGCACATTCTCTATACTGTCTATACTGTACTGCACATTCCCATAGATGGTGACAAGAAGAATTTGTTTAACTTTAAATTTACTCTTGCAACCTTAGCAATTGATTCAGGGGTGACATTGTAAGGAGAAGTTAGATACTGACCTCTCTTAGGGGTCAAATGGTCAGCAGAACTTTTACAATAGTGGAGCTCGCAGAGCGTAGCCCCATAATTATACAATTGGCAGTAACCCATCAAGCAGAAAAAATTTGGTTGTACAACCATATGACCGTACAAGGTGCTATTTTTAACATGTGTGGCCAACTGTACCACAAGCACGCCAATGCCACAGCTTTGTTCAGTAGTCCAGTGGTCAGTGCACTGGGCTCCAAGTCGGACGACCCAGGTTCTAGTCCTAGCCGGGGCAAGGCGTTGTGCCCTTGAGACGTGCGGGAAAAAAATGCAAGCTCCGCTTTTAGGCTTGGCTAAATCTATATATTAGTTTCAGTGCACTTGAAAAAATTATGATAATTATGTCCAACACACTGCACATGTGCTTTATCAAATACATTGTAAACCTGTAGTGACTGTGATTGGTGATTTTTGTTTTACAGCTATAAAAAGTATTCAGACAGCATCGTATTGTGGTGGAATCAATACTATCATAAGAAATGTACTGGATTCACAGGTATGGTTGTGTTGCTTATCAACTGATGCTCACTTAGTAAATGTGTTAAGAGACAGTGAATCCTGAAGTGAAGTTAGTGGCAAGAAAAGGTAAAGATTGCACTCAAGATGAGTGGCCATTCCAACATGAGTTTATTCCAGTTTTCATGCCATGAAGCAACAAGGAGTATCACTACTTCCCCTTGGTTAAGATGGTGGTCCATAGCAAGGTTACCCCCCAGTATTTCATCAGGCTCCCCTGATAAATTGTCAAACAAGCATTACATCCAGGAGGGGGAGTAGTTTAATACTGTTAGTCGCTCCATGATAAGGAAAACGGAAGAAGCTCTTGGTGGGTGGGTTGCTTGGCTCGAGTACTCACTATATGTTATACAAAGTGTAGCTCTGATAATGGATTTTTCTTCACAGATGCAAAGATTCAATGAATCCTTGATGGCCACTTTACTATACCTGTTGAACAATCCAGAATCACGGCTGTACGTCCGTTCAGATGTCGGATTAGAGGTACTCAAAGTTTATTAATTATTTTACACATGATAATACAACTTACATATCTTATTTTTTTTTTAGACTGTTTGATTTTTTTTTTTTATCATTTCTCAAGACCATACTTTTCTTATGCAGTCTGTGCTAGCTCCATTCACTGACTTGCACTACAGACACAATCCTGACACACCGGAAACACATTTGAGGTAAATTTATGTTTCACTAAATTGACAATAATGTTTTACAAAGTTAATAGGGAGAAGCTTTATGGGTTTCATTGATCAGCAGTTGGTCTCAAAAGGACAGGGTTGCGCAGACTGTTGCGGTCCTCTTACGACTGGATCCTCAAGTTCTTGTGTGGTTTTTACCAGTCATCTTTAAGCAGTCTTGAGCAGTTTTAAGTTTTCCTCTTGTTTTTCCCCTCAAACTGCAATGGAATGGGGGCTCCTGGCAGGTTTGTTGGGATTTGTCAGCTGTTGGCCGGGGGCTGTGTTTTCGGGCTGGCTGAACAAAGTGGAAGCCTGCTCTGGGTTTTAGATGGAGAGATGGGATCAATGCCAGTTTCTGAAAAAACTGCATGCCTACCCCTCCCCCTAACCCAAAATTAACTCTAACTTGTTATCAGTTGACTATTGGAAGGGGGGGGGGGTGTGCAGGTACTCAGTGATGTTTGTAATACATGTATATTTTAAGTTGAAAATTATTTCAATTGGTTTTTGTTCATTCATGCTTTTTTTTTTTATTAATTGTTAATTGTAGGGAGGACAAGGCAAGCCGTTTACAAGCCAGTAAGATGGCCATTGTTACTATTTTCAGATCTTGGTCAGGTCAGTATCCCAGAGTTGATGATGATCTAAATTCACACTTTTGTATTTGTGATGCAATGATAAGTCAGCTTTTTGAACATCGAGTTAAGGTTGATTTGTAATTCCCACAATTTTTTTTTAGTTTATCAATATGGTAATTCTCTTTACTGTCTGCCAAACAATCCTTATGATGTTGGTTTGGAGAATTTAGTTCTGGATCAACCACCAATCCCTGAACTGATATTTTTCTTTATTCTGATCACTTGTTTGTTTATTTTTTTTGTAACCTTTTTGGTTCTTATAGGTGTGATCAGCCTCTGTCGTCCTGACGGTAAAGGAGTGCAGTCCTTGCTGGGCGTGTTTTGCTTGCCAAATTCTGATGTTAGGGTAAGATTTTACTGAATACAGATTAGGAACTTCAGTCTCCCTTTCTTACACAATTGTTTTGTTAAAACATGATTGAGCTCTGACTGTAAATATATGAAAATCATTTATATGTGAACTGCGGTTGAAGAAACGAATATGGAAGCACTCCTCGCAGTTATGAAAAAAAATTCAGGCTTGTACAGTTGGTGGAGAGCATAGTGTTCATAACTGCGAGGATCACTTCCATATTCGTTTCTTCAACCGCAGTTCACATATATGATTTTCATGTATTTCCAGTCGTTTATTCACCACTTTGAGGGTTTATTTGGAACCAACATAACGACCAGCTCCCAGTTAGCTTGTTAGCTCAGTTGATAGAGCGCTGCACCGGTATTGCAGAGGTCATGGGTTCAAATCCTGTACAAGCCTGAATTTTGTTCAGGCATTATTTTCATTTCTACTTAAGTTGTGTTCATAACTGCGAGGATCGCTTCGCATGTGTTGCCTTCATATGAGGGCAGGGGGGTACAGGGTTGTTGCAAAGCACCAGCCCCTGGAGGTGACTGCTGGTTTACCTAACAGCTAGATCTAAAGTTTGTTCTTTTTTTTGCCTATAGAAAGGCATCATGGACATCGTGTTTGAGATATTTCAGCTCAAGGAGCCAGATTGGACAGATGACTTCAATATCGCCCTTCTAAGTGTTGGTAAGGTTTTTACATTCTAGTTAATTATTTATTTAATTTATTTCAGATTGAGTTTTTAAAATAGTTTGAAGTACCAGAGGGTATAATCCTTTTGCAACAAGCACTTGGCCATAGTACCTGTACGCATGTACACAATGCCGATCACATGGATGTGGTCAGGCTTAAAACTTACTTGTAAGTCTCTATGCTTTATTTCTTCAGATCCTTGTCAAATGCAGGATGCATGGAAATTATCCGAGGGATTCGTGGCAGAAGAAGCTAAGGCATTACTACCTCACAGGGCAACTGGAAGGTAAAAGGAACTTTTTATGGTAAAAAAATTTAAAAAGTGAAGGACGATCACTGGCTAAAACTTTAAAAAAATTTACGAGCTTTCGACTGCCTGAGCTGCAATTTTTAACGGGTGAAATGTGAATGACAAGAAGCGGAATGTTCGCTAAAAAGGGTGTTGCATTGTCCAGGTAGTGGACGTAAATTATTGTCCGCATTGGTAATCAGTTTGGTATGCCACGCTTCCAGGGTCTTACTTGTTCTAAAAAAAGGACTTTTTAGTTTTTCTGGTATTCATAAGTTACATGTCTGAGTAGTTCTTCGAAAAATGCCATTGGGAATGAGTTATTATTAGTGTTCAAAATTGTTGATGCTGGCTTAAAAATGGTAGTTTTGAATCCTTGTAACGAGGACACCGTGGCGATGACAATTATGACAACTGTTTGTTTATTGTTTGTTTTTTCATCAAGCATTTTTTTTGTTTGTTTGATAGAACAAACCTTGTGAAGAATTATATAGCTTTGGTGTTAGCAGCTTTCATGAATGCTGGATTATTTGAGGTATTTTAAATTTTTTTATTTCTTTTATTGGTGGTAAGGCTGTGGATGTCCATTTATTTTTTTAATTATTAGATTAACAATATACACGAAAAAATAACGCACGTCTGATTGGCTGAAAACGAGTGCATTTTTCATGTAGTACGAGTGCAAAGTTGTAACTCGAGTGCAAATTACAAATAGCGCGCGCGCTGCCAAAATATGTCCGTTTTAAATTGCCGTGATGCGTTCTTCATCTAAATTATTAGCAAGTAACAACAACCAATCAATTAATCAGTACCTCTTCCCAATCAAGTTTTGAGGTTCGTGTTGTAAGTTACTGACCACGTAAACCCAAGCGAAAAAAAAACGTGGTTCCGTAACTTACTGTTTGGACCAAGAAAAACGAGGTCAATAAGATATTTACTATATCTCTCGATTCCGGCTAAACTTCCGAATACCCGGCCACTTTGGTCCGCCTGACTTACATGTGTCGGGAGGCTTTGAAGATCGAGACATAACACAACAGACGATATTCTTATTCAATGACATGTAAATGAGTGGCCGGGTATTTTGAAGTTGCTTCCTGGATTCAAACAGAGGAAGAAGATTTCAAGTCAAACAAACTTTTGAATTTAGCTGGCCTTACGGTTAAATATAAATATATTTTTGTCGTTATTATCTTGTTATTATAATCATTAGTTGTAGAAGTAGTTTGAAGACATGTAAAATGGTTTCCGTGTTTGCATAGCCTGATGTAAACACGCGGTAGGTTGGGAAAACACGAGATAAGCGTAGAAAACCACGACGCGAAGCGGAGTGGTTTCCAGCTTATCGAGTGTTCTCCCAACCTCCCAAGTGTTTACATCAGGCTATGTAAACACGGAAACCATTTTACATTTCTTTTATAAAATAACTAATGAAAGAGGAACGAAAACCGTGTTTACATACGCTCATGTAAAATGGTTTTATGGCCAATCAGAGCGCGCGTACTATTTGAATTATTTTATATATATTTTATTATTATTGTTATTATTATTATTATTATTATTATTATTATTATTATTATTACTGGTATTAATCATTCTTCAATTCTAGTTCTCCTTGGATTTTTCTGGCCTTTTCCTTTGTTCTCGGTTACTATAATTTTGGTTCTAAATGCTCTGTTAAAGTGCTTCACCTTTGAAGTACTTTTAGCTTAAATAAGATAGAGGCAAACCACACATGCTTTGCGATAATGTGAATCGTGTTAGAACACCGCAGCAACTATATTTGTAACTTGCGTTTGATTTCCTCTCTTGTAGAGCCTTGTTGAAGTCATAACATCATCAGATCCGTTCCTTTCAGTCAGAGCCACCATTCTTCTTGGAGAGCTGCTTCATTTGGTAAAAATTACTTTTCAAACTCTTATTTATTTAATTATTTGTTTATTTTTATTTATTCATTTTTTTAAATGTTTCTTAGTGAGTCTTTCGCGCTTCTTTTTTTAATACTTTGGAAGGTTGTAGCTAAGATATAAAGCTGTCGGCTGAAATTGGAAGTAAGACGGGTAAGAGACAGCGTTCAATATCAAGTGATTGTAAGTGAAAACCGCAGTACTAGTGGCAGTTGTGCTTTACTGGGGGATCGCTATCCAAAACTCCAGCCGACGACCACCGCTTTTTCATTCGGCAAATTTCGCTGACAGTCGGTACTAAGCGACAACCCTGACCTGTTATGCCTTTTTATAACAGTAACTGTTGGATATCTCTTCCCAGGCTAACACACTCCTCCCCCCTGAGTGCAGCAGCCATACCCATTGTGTACCCATATTGGTGAACACAGCTTCTCTGTTTGAAGTCACCATAGAAGAGAGAAGGTAATTGCTTCTTCATCAAGAATATTATCACTTTGCGACCGGTCATCATTTATCACCACGATTTGGATTGGGGGAAGGGAGGGGGTTCAAAGGATTTTGTTTTTCCCCCCCCCTCCACCCCAAGGCTTTGTAGTATTATGATTAATTCCCCGTCAATTTTCTTTCGTTCCCTTGTATACTCTGTTTGCAGCGACTGATCCCCCCCCTAAAAACCATGTGAAAAATCCTCCTACCCTCCCCCTTCCGCGATAAACCATGACTGGATTTGTGTTTTTTTAGCCGCTGGCTTGTCAGGTTTAAAATATCAATGAATTTAAAATCTCCCCCCCCCCCCGATGGCCTCTTTTAAATGTTTCATATAATTTAATGTAACATTGCTTCATGCGGTATTTATAAAATCCTTTCTTCCTGTTAAATTTGTCATTTGGAATGTATTCTTTTGGTAATAATTCTACCAAATCACGCTCGTGATAAGAGGAAAAACATCTTTCTCTGTTTCTCTACTGGGCTCATAACTTACCATCTCTCCTGTTTTATTATTGGAAGTGCTTGTACCGATAAAAATCGCACATTTTTTAATTCTTCACGCCAGTGGGTTAATAACTAATAACTTATTTTATTTTCAGCCGTGCTAGTATAGCAGTGAATTGCTTGGATCGTCTTCATCAGACTAAGAAGAGAGGCCTTGTTCCCTGCAGTCTGTACCTCAGCCGTATCGTCTCTAAGGTACTTACGCTGTACACTACGTCCACCAGTACTGAGGTGACGTAAATAAAACTGATCACCCTGATTGTGTATAACACGCATTGAATCTCTCCCAAATGCACTTTGGTGCTTTGGACATAAATAGATTTAAATTTGGTTGAAATCAGTGTGCGTTTCCTTTGATGCGATTGGTTATTTTTAAGTGACATAGGAAACTGTGGTTGCTTCGTTTAATGGCAAATTAAGGCAAATACATTGTGCGCTACGTCCACCAGTTCTGAGGTAGCCAACGTGTTGCTTTACTCTCCCCCCTCGAGTCCGTTTCTCCTTGTGGGGGGGAGGGTACGGCTACACGTAGGCTAGTACTGAGGTGACGTATATAAAGCTGAGCAATCTGATCGTGTGTAACACCCATTGAATCTCTCGCAAATGCTCTGTGTTCTGTACTTGCTTTGGTCCTAAAAGAATTTATATTTGGTTGAAATCAATGTTTTCTTTGACGTGATCGCTTATTTTTAAGTGACACAGAAAGCTGTAGTTACTTCTTGTAATAACAATCAAGGCAAGTACATTGGAAACCCTTGTAAGCATTCAAAACCTGTGACGCTTGAAACAGAATTGTTACCTTTAACCAAAACAAGCAACCTCATTCAAGTTTTGAAGATGGAAAGAGTATCTTACATTTCACGCACACCACCATCATTGGATCAGTCTGGGCCAAGATAGATGGTACATTTCAAGGAAAAATATATGTTCTTTGACGTAAAAAAAACCCCTTTTTTACCACAATCGGCAGTTGCACTCTAATAGACAACGATATTCGTCCTCACTGTGGTCAAACTTTCTTGCGGACTCACTCGGCTGCGCTTCATGAGTGCACATTTAGATCCAATTTTCCAACGTGTTATCAGAAACTGGAGCAAAAGTTCCACAATTCCTAAGAGAACCCAAGTTTGCTAAATGAAAGACATTGTAACAACGCCTACAATGCTGAGGTAATTGATGTTATTTCTCTTATCAGGCTCACACACTGGAGCCCAAAGTTAAAGACAAACTGCACCGGGACAGGCTCAAGGCTTGTTTAAACAAAGTAAGCTTTGCTGAGATTAACTCTACTTGCCATCGATATAAAATTGTTATTCATTCCAGTGTGTTCTTGCAAGAATTGCTCTGCATGATCTTACAAGGGAAAGTAGGCGAAGAAAATGTTCAAAATTCCTGTAAAGTTCATTCGCTCGTGTAGTCATTTAGAGTCCGAGATGTCATGGAATTGAATTACGCGTGGACCCAAACTGTGTATTAACCTTCAACTTCCAAGATCTTATTAGTAATTCTCCTTACTGTCTGCCATATAGTTCTCGTGATGTTAGTTTGGAGAATTTGATATTGGATCAACTAGTAATCCCCTTATTGATATTTTTCTTTATTCTCATCGCTTGTCTGCTTGATATTGTATTGATATTGTAAGGAGAAATTCTGTCTTGGTCACTCATGGGAGTTAAGGAGTTAACGAGTTAACTACGTGTCTCTAATAAGCTTACCAGATGTCGTCACTCCTCTGCCCACAACACCGTCCAACCACCAGTATTTATTACAAATTTAATTGTTTTATTTTTTTTCCCCAGGAGATTGACGATCCCCTATTCTCATCCCTGCGAGACACACAGGTAATCTTTATAATGATCTGCTCATATATAGAAGAGTTTATGGCACCCTTCATAATTCTTCTGTTAACTGCATGTGTAATTCATGTTGTGGAGCGTCGGACTGCCTTGCGGGAGGTTGAGCGTTCGAGCCCCCGACCGGACCAACACTTGGGTCTTGAGATAACTGAAGAGAATGTGCTGCCTTTTCTACACAAATAGTTCGACATTCTAGTCTTCTCGGACAGGGACGATAACTCGTTGACCCCGTCTCCAACATCCTCTATGACCTGGTTAACAGAGAACGTTCAAGAACCCACGCACTTCTTTCAAAGAGTAGTTAATGCAGCTCCCGGTGTTGTGGTCTGGCCTTGTTATCGTTTACGCAGGCCCCCATTTAAACCAGCTTTGATCTGAACTGCACCAGTCTGTTTTGATTTTGCAAAGTAGTAGATAAATGAATAAAAGTTATTTGTTATGCACTGTTTGTAGTAGGCAATCGTGTTTTGATTATAAATAGGACAGGATTGATATTCTCTTCCTCTTCTATTCTTTCTACCAATAATCATTTTTTACAATAATGATTGTTAAGTGAATTAACATCAATTTTCAGGTTTTGATGGAGAGAGATTTCAGAAACTGGGACTGGCACCTCATTAGTTCAACACTGCAGGTAAGTATAGCAACCATCATGTGAATGATCACTATCAACATCATGATTGCCTTTTCACTTCAAGGTGATAGTTCGTAGTTCAATGCGTTTACAGAGTATATGTAAACACAAGTTTATAAGAAACCCAGTTACCTACAGTCAGGATGCTGACTGAATAAAGGTTTTTGTAGAGGTTTTGAGAACATTGAAATGATAATAACAACTTGAAAGAAATATACTTCCATATAATTGTTATAAAAACATTAAAGTGGGGTTGTAAAAATATTTGTTAAAAAATCTAATGAAAGAAGAGGCTTGAATCCAAACTCCGTAAGAAATGTGTTGTAAACTTGTTAAATGAACCACAGCATTTGGTTGAAATAAAAACTACGAAACTTGTTAAAATTCCAGACAAAGGGTAACAAATTTGCGCGAACGAAAGCTCACAAAACAACTAACCAAATTCTGTGAAAACAAAACAACAAAAGTACGCAAAAAATGTCCACGTCAGTTTTCCCATGTCAAAGTCAGAGTTTTTTTTGACGTGATTGGCTTATTTGCAAAATCACAAACGCTGCGCGTGAATGCAAAAAGAATACAAAGGGGGGAGAGGAAGGGGAAAAATTGTTACTCGAAATTTTAAAACGAAAGAGATTTTTTAAAATATTTTTGAAACAGTTGTTTCTACCTGCATACAAAAATGGGATAAAATGAGGGTAACATTGTAAATGGGATACGAGCGGTCCCCTCTTTTCGGTAAAGTCCGTCGTGTAAGTGAAAAAAAAAAAGAAAAAACAGTGAAAAAATATTTTAATGTTAGCGCACGTTTTCGTTCGCCTCACTCCTGGAGTTCCGTGCGGGGCGCTGACATCAATTTTCTTGTTTTTTGCTGTCTTTTTCCTGACGGATTTCGCCGATAAGGAGGGACTGCTCTTTGTCTACATTGTAAAGCCTTTTTAAGACAAAGTAAAATTTACATATTTTTTTGGGTGTTTCTGTTGTAGTCTCCAACCGTTACTATGAGGAAATTGGAAGAGACTTCAAACCAGAAGTAAGTTTTCACTAAACAACAATTCCTTTGTTTTGAACCATTCCTGTAACTCGCTACAAAAAAAACTATGGATGGCGCTGGTTAAGCGCAGTTGCAGTCAAAAGTTTCTCCTGGGACCCCTCCTGGTTATTCCCGTTGTTTATTGACATTTCAATCAGATACATGCAGTGAGTTATGGCGGATGATATGTGGCGACACTATTTCCCAACTTATCATCCACCATTTTGGTCGTACCCTCTATTCCTATTGCGATTTTGCTTGATAATTTATTTATCAATGCCACCAAAAAACTCGTTCTGGTTTAAATATCGTGGAAACCAGTACTCTACTGAATCGAAGGTTCGAAGAAGGAAAAAACGAGTGTCACACCAAAGGTCTTGGGAAAGAATGTTCAGTTCTGCCCGCAAGATTCCAGCAGGTCTGACCACCGCATCTTCTGAGGGTATCAAGGAGTAAAGGAGTCAATCATAAGTGGATTTCGGTTTGTAGATATGAGAATTTTGTCTTCTGTGATGGAATGTATGCCATGCAAAGAATGCTTTGTTTGTGATTTAATTTTACAAGAGCAAGCTATGAAACGCAAAGGTTGTGCCTCGAATCTTCGTTTGCTTTGCTGCTCGTGGTTGGTCTATGGAATTCTTTACTTCAGCTCAAATAGGCCGTTTCTTTGAAGTAAACAGAAGATTTGTGTATGCTTCAAGATCTGTTGGTTGTGGACGTGCGGCAGGTAAAGGTTTTGTGGACTTATGAACATGCCGCCACCTCCTCCTACACCATATGCTCGCCATAATAAAGAAATACTCCGAGCAGTAAAGAAGATCTCACTGGAGACAATGCGTGATACTGCAAGATTCACGATATCAAGCCAGGTTCAGATGAGGGCATAGCAAGATGTGGAGTGTCTGTTGATGGAACATGGCCTTTTCTTCTTTAAATGGCTGTGTGAGTGCTATTAATGGATACAGGGAAAGTGGTAGATGTTGAGCCCCTAAGCAAAGTTTGTATCAAGTGCAGGGAGCATGAAAATGATCCTGACACCCCAGAAACTACTGCATGGAGAGCAGACCACAGAGCCTCTTGCAAGGCAAACTTTAAGGGTTCAGCACCAGCTATGGAACCAGAAGGCGCCCTTCGAATGTTTCAAAGGTCAGTAGATCTGCATAAGCTGCAGTATGATGAATATTATGGCGATGGTGACAGCAAAAGTTACTCATTAGTCAAAGATGTATACCAAGTCTATGATATTGAAGTTCAAAAGAAGGAATGTGTTGGCCATGTTCAAAAACGACTGGGAACAGCTTTACGAAAAGTTAAAGAAGGAAAAGAAAGGGATGGGTGGGAAAGGCAGGCTGACAGATGCCATGATTGACAGACTGCAAAATTACTATGGAATTGCCATTCGAGCAACTCAGGTGATCTTGCTGCCATGAAGAAGGCAATTTATGCCAGCTTGTTTCACTGTGCTTCTTCTGCAGACAGTAATTACCATGGGCATTGCCCTGAGGGTCCTTGGTGTGGTTTTCAGCGGGACAAGGTCAATAGGACAAACACTTTCAAACATGGAACTGGCCTACCTTTAGATGTCAGAGAGGAAATCAAACCCATTTATAAAAGGTTGAGTGAGGACAGCCTTCTCAGCAAATGTCTTGATGGCAAGACTCAAAACCAGAATGAGTCACTCAATGATATGGTTTGGGAGCCGTGTGCCAAAGGGGTGTTTGTTGATTCTGAAGTACTGCAGCTGGGGTTTATGATGCTGTCGCTCACTTTAATATTGGTTCAAAAGCAGCTATTAAAGTGTTTGAGAGTCTTGGAAATTCCCAGGTGAATTCTGTATAAATGAATGCCAGCAGTTGGACAAGATTCGTGTTTTGAAAGCTGAATACAAGTTCCAAGAGAAGAACAAGACAAGGAGGAGGCTACTCATTTTATAATAGCTTGTCACTGAATTCATGACAAATGTTTTGAATCTTTTTCTTGAGCATCACACCCATTTTTTCCACTTTTTAGTAAAAATTCCGTTGTTTGCGAGTCGAAAAAAAACTGAATTTTTTAAAATTTGATCATTCACTGAAAAAATTCAGGTTTTCCACGCCGCTGCGCAGAAAAAAGATCTGGAAAAAATTCAGGTTTCGCGCTGCGCAGAACTCTGGAAGTGAAGCACACGCGCCTCGCTCCCAGAGTTCCGCGCCGCGCGTTACGAGTTTTTTTTGTGTTTTTTTTTGTGTGTGTCTTTTTTTTAACTCTCGAGATTGACTTCGCCGCAAAGGAAGGACTGCTCGTCGTTTATTCCAAATGTTATCTTACGTTTTTATTATTGATTCTCCTTTTGAAATATTCATTGAAATCAATCCTTATCAGATGTTCTAACTCACTGCCTTTTTACTTGCAGGTTTATTCGAAACCTTCTGTATTTCTACAAACCTAGTAGTCAGCGGTTCTGCACAGTTCACATATCAGACCCTCAAGCGCGAACATTTTCAGAAGTAGGCTGCCTGCTCATCGACTTCCTCCTCGATGGCGAAGATGTAAGATATAATTTCTGCTCGAAAGGTAGTGGTGTTAAAGGTCTTGTTTGGGGATCTGTAAATAATCAGGCACGGTGGCATGTACAAGTAAAACTTTTTTATTTTCTGTTTTGTTTTATTTTTGTTTTTGTTTTTGTTTTTCTTCAAAATTTTGATGGTGGGGTTTGATTGAAAAGTATCATTATCTTTGAATCAAGCCAGCCACTATTTGTCCACGTGTCCTTCTGTCTGTTTGTGCAAAGGGGGCAAGTTTCCAAAGAAACTGTGGTGCTGCGTCGGTGGGTGGTATAACAAGATAACTTGCTTTTAACAACTGAGTTGATAATTTTAATTGGCCGCCATAAAACAAAGTTTTCTTGTCTGTCTGTATGTTTATCTGTGTGTGGTTTTTTCAGTGGCTGCACTGTGAACTTCACATCTTTTCTTGCAGGTTGCTGAAGGACTTCTTCTCCATGACCTGGTTCAAGATATAGGTGAATGTCTTCAAGAGGTGAGTGCGTTAGTGAGAGTTCTTATTTCTGAGTCCAAGGATACTATGAAAAGGCACAGTGAGCATCTAGCTGACAAATGATTGATAAGTATCTTAGGAAATATATAGAAAATAGTCTGTGAAAACTAATGTTAGGGTTTATTTCGAGTTAAGGTAAAACTTATACAAACTAGGGCTGTTTGATAAACAGTTGTTGCCTTCTCGATAAATTACCAGAAAACCCTAAAGAAAAAAAAAAACTGAAAATATTGCCCTTCTTTCCATCCTTTTGAGACTTTGTCCGTTAATCCTTTAACTCCCGTGAGTGACCAAGACAGAATTTCTCCTGACTATATTTTTTACAATATCATGCAGACAAGTGACGAGTATAAAGAAAGATATCAATTGTGGATTACTAATTGATCCGATACCAAATTCTCCAAACTAACATGATGAGAATCATTTGGCAGACAGTGAGGAGAATTACTACTGAGATCTTGGGAGTTACAGGGTTAAGTGACTTTCTAAAAAACTGCGAATTGTTAAACTTATTTCTTGAGAGTAAGTAATGCTGTTCAATCATTTGTTCTCCATATAAAGTAATGAAATGAATGGTTAAAAAAAATTACATAATTTCTGCCGCTTACTGCTTTTATCTCTTTTAAGTTTCAATGTGTTCTTTTCCCCTTCATGAATTTAGCTAAACATCATGAATAATCAATTAATCCTCTCCATGTGCTCTTTCTCAGGTACTTCTTCAGCATTCTAAGGTAAAAGTTTAGACAAGGGTCTGTCTATAATGTAAACTGGATCTAAACTTAAACTTATAACTCAAGCACTCTTGAAGATAACATTTGTGCATTTTTTTAATGTTAAAGTATTTTAATTAGCAGCCCTAATCAGCTCTTTCTGTCATTTTGGATCACTTGGGGTAAATAGATCACAATTGCAGGTGTTGGGATCAAAGTGGTATCTTTCTCATCGTAGACATCTTGAGATATCTTGTCACTGAAGAAAAAAATCGACAAACGAAAAAAAAAACGAAGGAAAAATCTAAAACAGCAATAACAAATGCACAAACCAATAGAAAAACACTGGAAAAACGAGTTTTCGATTAAATTTTAGCCCAGGATATTTGTGATCACACATTCGAATCATAACACATAATCGTAAACAACCAATTTTGTTCAAAATTAACTTTTCCATAGGAGCTTCCTAAGCGACAAAAACACGAATGGTCAATCGATATAATGGGGATAGTAAACAGCATTCCAGGCGTCTCGAATCTTTAAAAAGAAAACTTCAAATCTCTCTTTTGTGCGAGGTTTCAGGGAAATCTTGAGATTTTCACGAAACGGTAGAAAAAAGCATTTCACGCGTTATTAGTGTAGAAGGGAAAACTCCAACTCTCTCTTCTTGTGTGCGAGGTGCCAGGCAAATCTTGAGGTTTTCGCGAAATGTAAGGAAAAAATTCAAGGGTTACGTATATTTCAGGAGGGAAATCACGCCTCACGTTGGTTCATAAATTCACGAATCTCGTGCGCCTGTCTGTAAAGTTCACGCGTCACAGGTTTATTTTGGCCATAATCGCGCGTCGCTATAAACCTCTTACAACCCTTTGCAATTATTCACACTGTGCAGTACACTATTAAACCTCTTTTGTTTTGGTATACTAGATTCTCAAAAGTGGGGCCACAAGGCTCTTTTATCTGCACATAACGAGAGATAATCGTTTCCGAAATTATGGAAGAGGTCTGGACGCTAAAGCTTTTACTTTCGTTCCCAGGCGTTATCTCCAAGCATCACAACCGGAGTCCTAAGTAACAACAATGTTCTGAGCACGCTCAGTAGAGATTACTTCCTGTTCCTTGGCAAACTGGCCGGAACTAAAGTGGGTTCCAAGTTGTTAGAGAGGATTGGAGTCTATCAGTAGTGAGTATATGATTCACGACCTATCGACTTACTTCTCGTGGTATCACTTAACTCTTTCACCCCTAAGAGTGACCAGCGTTTAAATTCTCCTTACAATATCACCCCTGAATCACACATTAAGGTCACGAAAATAAAGGAAATGGTCACCGTAGCTGAGTACATTTGAACAAAAATATCAAACGGTTATATAGCATTTTGCAATCTCATAATGCAGTCTGTAATAGCGAAGCTCGCAGGGCGTAGCCCCATAATTATACAAAATAGTAGTAACCATCAAGCTGAAAAAAATTTGGATGTACGACCGTACGACCGTACAAGGTGCTACTTTTAACATGCGTGGTCAACTGTACCGCGGGCACGCCAACGCCACGGCTTTGTCCAGTAGTCCAGAGGTCAGTGCACTGGGCTCCGAGTCGGACGACCCGGGTTCTAGTCCTGGTTGGGGCAAGGCGTTGTGCCCTTGAGACTTTAGGCTTGGCTAAATCTTTATATTATATCTTAAATTATTAAATTTTCAACTCCAAATATTGCATTTCTAGTGTTCTGATCGGTTTACTCAACTCCTTTTATTCTGAGTCACCTTATATCGAAATACATTGCACCAACTGTTACTGAGCTGAGAAAAGCGTTCAGGATTTAATGAAATTTAATTACAAAATTTAATTTTAAAAATTTCTTCCATTTGCGCTTGTTGGGTATGTCACCATCTCATGTCTAACGCTCGCTTATGGAACATTGTTTAATACACTTTTTCCGGGCGGAGGAAAAGGTCATATGATTTGCGACGCATACATGCCTTTAAGGTGGTACAAGGCTAATTTGGCCGTTTTTTTTGCTCTGTTTTGCAACATTTGGAACGGTTTTAAGAATTTAACCAAAATAACCCAAATTTTCAAAGATAATAAAGAATTCATCTTAGATTCCGAAAAATGTTAGATTTGTGCTAACGGTTGTGGAAGTTGCTGTGGCGGCCAAGTTGTGAGGAATCAAAAACCTTTCATATTGGAAATGTTACTGGAGATTTCGCATACACTGCCGAACATTTTCACCATAGTGTGTCACTCGATGAAAAAAAAACAAGCATTTACACCTCAAATGAGCTATCTCGCGTTACATACCTCTTGATAATTTATTTTTTATGTAAAATTTTATTCGTTCAATACTTTTGTTAAGTATGTGAAAATTTTTCCAGAGATTTTTTAAACTTAATTAACTATGCCGTCTCCGTTTAGTCTCTTAGAGTTGTGTTCCATACCGTCACGTGACAGTCTACAAAAGCTGATTGTAGCAAGCCTGGATTACAGTCACACTGGAATTCCGAGGATAATCCTCTCGAAAATTTTAACAGCTTCCAGCTCGGTAAGCGGATAGACACTGTTAATTTACACTGCTTGTGTAGCGATATAGCAAAGTGAAAGAGTTAAGATATTTATTCTTGCAGAAACTTGTTTTTTATTTTTTGCTCACATATGTATTATTGTTTCCAGGCCACACGCCTCTACGCAACGAGCCACATGAGGGTTCTATTACGAGCACGTGTTGCGTTCTTCCACAGCTGGGGAATTGAGCTTCTTGTTACACAGGTTCAGTAGAAATGCATTTGACTGCCGATGACTTTTATCTAAGCCCTTTGGCTGCCAAACCTGACTAGCATCTAATTCTCCCTTCCAATGTCACTCCTGAATCAAACATTTAATGTAACATTTAAAAAGGGCACGAAAATAGAGGAAATGATTGCCAACCCGAGAAGCTCTTGATTGTTTAACAAATTCTCCTTGTCAGCACCTTAGGGAATATATAGAGAACAGTATGGAGAATATGCGTACTGATGTTAGGGTGTAAAGGGTTTCTTACTTTCATTTTAACAGTTGTACGATACTGATAACCAAGTTGCAGTTGAAGCGGCTGACGTGTTAGATGAAGCTTGTGAAGACGAGGTGAGTTGGAAACGAGTATTATTTGTGGTAGGGGAGGGGAGAGGGAAGAGGAAAGGGGAATTTTTTTTTCTCTAAGAATCTTGATACAGACTGTTCTTTTTTGCAGGCTAATCTGCAGTATCTCATAGAACTCAGTCCAGTCCTCCTTCATTTGGGAGAGGTCGGTCATCGTCTTCTAACAAGGTACGCGACTATTTCGTCTTAAGTAAATGGAGACACTTTCTTGGTGTTATTTTTCTCAGTTCGTACGTGCGCTGTGATTGTTCAATGAAGCGGGCTGTATCTTACTGTACAGACCACTCAATGCAAAGGTTTGTTTGAATTGAAATCTCCCCCCTCTGTTTGAACCCAGAGCTACAAAAAATATTTCACAAACCTCGTTTTTTCGGTCTGTATTGTAAGTTTCTGAACCTCGTTTTTTTCGCACGGACTTATGACCCGTGCGCTTCGTACAAGCGGGAAAAACTTGGTAAATAACTTACAGTACAGACTTCGAACTCGGTTAGTGAGAGGTATGTAAACTGAGCATGAGTGGTGCGTGTGATCCGCTCCCCTTTTCTTAAGATCCCCGTTCATCCTTTTTGCACGTGAGTCAAGAAAACTGGATCTTTCATGCGAATTCAAGGGTTACGGGTGAAATTACCAGAAGTGTTGTGGAACTACACGTTCGAACTTTTCATGTGCTGATTTTATGAAGTCCAGATCCTAAAGTGCGCACTAACAGAGCTACTATACGATACGATTACTATATTTAAACACGGTATTTCCATCAGTCAATAAAGATACCAGACTATCTATCTGTTTGCCATACTACGATAAAAATAATAAAAATATTTCAACAATAAAACTCCTTTTCATAGAGGCCGTGTCTAAAAATTTACTTAAACTCAAAACTGTGGCGACCTAAATTAGATTTAAAATCGGTTAATGAAGATGCTTGCCTTAGGTCTTAAGGTTAAAATATCGTGTTGTTGTTACTTTGTGTTGTTTTTGGTTCCATTTAAACCTATTTCGAACCAACTTAACCACATAATCGATAATTTTATTTCAGATTCGTTTCGGTCGAGAGCGGGTTAAAATATCTTACGCAGAGAGGATACTTGACAGTATTAATGGACAATTGGAGAAGGGTAAGTTTAGTTTGTATGCATGTATTGAGTCTCCCGTGCTGAAAACGCGTGCCAGCACACTAGCCCAGTGGTTAAAGAAAGATGTCTACTGATCTTTTCGTCTTGTTACGAGTTTGCGATAAAGAAAAACCTCTGAGTTCCCATGAGGAATCGAACGTCAACGCAGCGGTCAAACGTCTGTACGTGTGCGAACGTGGAAATTATTAGTGGCGTGCTTTCAGGCTGTCAGAACCAAGTTGTCTGACACGAGTTATAAACAATAACACAGGCCCGTAAGTCGCTGTGTTTTAAAAGCCTTTAACGTTTTTGGTAAAGCACAAAACAGAATGGCAAATCAACCGGATACCCGTACTTGAATAAGCTTTGTGTTCGAAAAGTCTCGAGTTTTCTTTTTCCGTATTTTTATTTGCTTCTTCAGATCTCTGTGAATTTTTCAATTATCTTTCGCTTATTTAGCGTGACGAGGGTCTTTTCTGTCTTGAAATTTTGCGCGGGAAAATGGCGCGCGGGCGGTCACATCGATCCCTCTCGCTCATGCCCACTGTGTTTCGAACATCAGACCATCGGATTCAATGGGCTCCGATGGTCTACCGTGTAGCCACAGAGGACTGTGTGGTGTGGGAGGCTGTTGCCAAGTTCGCATGCATATAGTTTTAATTGCTCGGTATTATATTTTCTTTCTTTCTTGTTACGACGTGCAATCAGAAAGCGCTCTTTCACGTTGCTTCTCAGCGTTGTACTGTTAATTTGGATTGGTGTGAAATGTTTTATGTTGAAGGAATACAATACAGCGTATGTACGCTGGGTCGAAGAATTGCTGGCAGAGTCATTGACGTCCTACGTCAAAAAGAGCGACGACAACACGTATCTAAGGAGATCAAACAGAAGGTAATCATTTCAGAACTTGATTTGAAGGGTTGATTGTTTTTTAGCATACCGGTTTTTGAATCGCGAGGTCTGGGTCCGAGCTCAGGCCAAGCGGGGCCATTTTCTATTTATTGCCTGGAGGCGAGGGAGGGGGAAGGGGTCGAGATCACATCGTTTTCAGGGGGAACTAAGGGAGATCAGTCGTTGCCATCAGAGAAAATTGACGTTGTCTCTTTGTAATAGGCTGGTATTAAAAGATGCCTTTTTACCGCCTCATTTGTACGGACAGTTGGTTCAAAAGAAAAACGGCTTTAAACTCCTGCAGAAATCAGTAAGTGTGATTTTCATCTGTTTCTTTTCGAAATAATAGTGGTCTACTAGTGAGTGTGGTTGACTCCGAGTCGAGAGGTCTGGGTTCGAAACCTTGTCGGGTCTGTTCTTCGACAGAGCAATGTACTCTCAAAGTGCCTCTGTCCACCCAGGAGGATAAATAGGTTGGTACAGGTGGACTGTCAAGAGAACATGACGAAATGTTGCTGGGGGGGGGGGGAAAAGAAGGGAAGGATCACCAGCATCCCATCCTTGGGAAGTGAATATACTCTTGGTCGCTTCTTGACAATTGGGATAAGCTTCAGTTCTTTGAGGGTGAAAGACTTGTCTTACCTAACCGTTTTCTGATGAACGTTGTACGTAGTTAAAGGTTCCTAGAGCTAAGATCAACTGTTTAAATTTGTATTTAGAATGATGTGGAGCTGTTTGTGCGCACGCTCCAGACTCTGGAACCCAAAACTAAAGAACAAGTGGACGAACTCAAGGCAGCTTTGTGGGCTTTGGTACGTATGTTGTACCCGCTTCAAATACTTTATGAAGTGTTCGTTGAATTGTTGCCATTCAGTGGATATCAGGTGTTTTTTTTTTCTCAAGCCTGTTAAACGTAACTGTTGAACTCTCGATTAGCTCCCTCTTTCCAACAATCCCCTCATCTAGAGCTTCAAGTTTGCAGTACGCCCCCCTCCCCCCTTGGTCCTTTTCTCCATGTTCTTACACTTCTTTTGGGTGTGTTGTTGTATACATCTTGAACTATCTCTCCCCCACCCTCCTCTCCCCCATTACAAGTTGCAGGCTTTCGTAGAATCGTCTAATTTATTTTGCAGGGTCATGTTGGATCCACAAACTGGGGTATCAACTTTCTTGTAGAAGAAGGAATCATTCCAGAAATTGTTCGTTTGGCCGTAGATTGTGGTAACTTTGCCATACGAGGGTATGTATATTTACGAATTATTACTGTAATTGGTTGTTTTTGGAAAGGTTATACTCAACAGCTGTATCCTTTGGACGATAAATGAGTGACTTGACTCGTGATTTATTATACCGACTTACCGACTGGAGATAGGTCTGAAGTGAAAAGATCACAAGATTTTAAGTTATTTTTGGAATATTGTTTGACTGGTTGACGGTGAGACAGACTGACTGACCGACTGAACTTCCTAGAGACTTACTGATGTTTTGGTTGACTAACTGACCGACTCGCTGACTGCTGACTTTCTGACTAACTGACTGACTACCTCGATGACAACTGACTTTCTGACTGCCTGCTTACTTACTGACCTACTCGCTGACTAACTGATTGATTAGTTGATTGAATGATTGATTGACTGATTGATTTATAGGACATGTTATTACGTCCTCGGCCTGATCGCAAAGACCCGTGAAGGTGCAGACATCCTTCGGGAGTATGAGTGGGAGAGCGTTCGACACATGGGCGAGGATAAGTGGCCAGTACTGGAGACATCACTCGAAAATAAAGAGGAATTTGTTCCCATTTCTTACATCATGGAACCACAAAGTAAGCCAGTACCATCAGTGCTCTCAGGTATCAGCGAAACAGAACGCGCAGGAGGGATCTACTTAGGAGAAGAAAGCAAAGCTGCAGAAGGGTCCACCGCGTATGATAAATTCAGTGGGATATATCTTGGAGAGGACAAGGGACCTAGCAGAAAGACGTCAATCGAGGAAGCCAGTGAGGGTGGGATTTTATCTCTATGGTACAAAAATGCTGAAAGACGACGCAAGATAGCAAGTCGTGAAAGTGGCTTCTACGACGAGAGAAGCGGGGTGTACCTTGGAGAAGAGTCACCTTCGGTGTCAGAGCCTGCAGATGAAGGCGTAATAACCCCTGCTCCAGGAGGAATCCTGGAGCGACTTTTTACTGAAACTGGGCTTGACTTGTCCTCAGTTAATAAGGAAATTAAAATGTCGCATCGAAGGAATTACAGCGAGGGAAATTTTTCGGTCGCAACTTTCGGCGAGAAAGATTCAACCTTCGAGACATTAGACGTAAAGCGGAGGGCGGTGTCCAATGTCGATCGCATCGGGTCTCCATTGAAGTCTGTCAGTGAACATTCTGTTGACGATGTACGTGTGTCTAATGGGATCGGATTAAGGCCCTTTCATAAACACACTGCCAGCGCCCCTAGTGAGCATGTCCCACAAATGGACGGGACAATGTCAGATGGGAATCGCACTAACCGTGGTTCTGTTTCCGAATCGATTACTTTCTCTGCGCTCAAACCGGAAATGAGGAACCGCACAGATAGCGAAGTGACTGATATGTCATCCTTACACATGCGTTCCGGAAGTAACTTGAGTAGTGCGAGTGTGGACAGCGGCGACTTCTTAGAAATGTCTTATATTGCTTCACGCAGCCGCACGAGCAGTGCGAGCGAGACTGGGGGCTACTTACAGCAGGAGAGCCCCACGAGTCAAAGTTTGCTAAGTGTTAATTCAGATGATACCTCTAAGACACTTGGCGATAAAGACCCGCCATTGGACTCCTCGGCGGACAGCCTTCAGGGGGGCCTCTCGTTCGAATCTCCCTCAGCATACTCCTCGAATGAGCTCCTACGGCGCAGCTCAAGTCCCATAGCAGAAGATCGCAAACGCCTCCCAATCAACGATTTACTACAAAACGATCTCGAGTTGCGGCAGCGGAGCACAAGCCTCACAGAAAAACGGCGCATGGGAAGTCCATCCCTCGGGATTATACCCGAGACCCGTAGCTCCAGTTTTAGCGGGAGCACGGATTTTACTAAGGTGGCGAACAAAAGTCGCGCGAGTTCTGATGCCGAGTTGATCCATGTGTCTCCGGTGGAGAATCTAAACGATTTGCACGGTAGTAACAGAAGCTTGGCTGAAGTAAAGATCTTAAGTGATAAAACCATCGTGTTTCGCTCCGGCGTCGAAAGCAAAACCAGGGCACTGAGTGTAGATAGTGCTAGTTCTAGTGGACTAAGAAGAGACAGACTGTTGGTTAACAGCGGTCAAATGAGTGGAGACGAGTCGGATGGCAATGTCTCGCGCAGCCGAGGCAGTTCCTTTGAGAAGGCGGATTTTGCTAGGAAACTGGGGCTTAAATCTGGGGACTTATCACGCGTTCGGCGCACGCGCAGCACTAGCAGTGGAAATTCGTCAACTGAGGGATTTTCGCCGAAAAAGATTGTGAATAAAAATCGTTTACTCGGCTCAAATGAAAACAACACTGTGATTTCTGGGGACATGCGACGGAACTCATCTGCCAGTTCAGAGGCCTCGCTTTTCACGAGCTCTCGTGACGCGTTTGGTTACACGGCACTGAGCACATTACGACGTCAGAGAAGCTTTAATCGTGACCTGGAGAAGAAAGTCAATGCTTTTGGCACCACCAGAACAGGGTGAATTTGTTTAACTTTTTTGGCCAAACTTTAGCAACTACCGGTTTTAATGTATCTAATCTCAGTTAATCAGCCTGATTATTAAGTTTTTTTGGTCACGCAATATTTTGTCAATCCTATTACGTGACGAGCGAGGCCTAGGCCTCTATAGTTTCCTTTTTAAGTAATGAAAATATCGTGTACTTATTGACTGAGTGGGAGGGCCTGACGGGAACATATTAGGCTCGAGGTCATGACGTACAGACCGAACGCAGCAAGGTCCGTGCGCCATGCATGAGAGCCAAATATTTTTCCGTTCGACCCTCCTACTCAGTCAATAAGCGTTATATTATACGACCACTTACTAAGTAGGACGCGACAGACTAGTGCGCGCGGGAAACCACAATAAAAAACAATAAAAACTTTTCCTTCATATTTTTTAGTCAGAACAAGAAATTCACAATTCATCGAAAAAAGTGGCTTATTTTCTCATTTTTCTTCACTACTGTCACTCATTTGCAGCAACAGCGAACATTTTTTCTCTGCAACAAAGATGTACAAGTGCGCGAGGGCCAGACGGTTTTTTCCGGACTGGCTCACATCAACCCGTTCGGCTCTGCACGTCAGCGGGGCCGGACGGGGCATATGATAAATACCACTCGCAAACCAAGGTCGAGGTCCATACTTTAAGTTACGGACCGAGTTTTTTCTGCTCAGATTTTTGCGGAAAAAGCGAAGTTCTGTAACCTACAGTACGGATCAAGCAACGAGGTTAGTAAGATAGTTTTTGTATCTCCGGGTACAAATAGAGGGGCAAGATTTCAATTCAAACAAATTTTTTCAATTGAGCGGGCTGCAGAGTGAAATAAGGCCTGTTAAATTGACCAATCATAGCGTACGTACTGACTGAGAAATGTGATAAATAATAGTTTTGTGTACAATAGATTTTATTGCCTTAATGATTTGTTTGTTTTTCTCCGCAGCACTTTCCAGTTTCCGCGTTCCATGTCTGCCGGGGAATTCTCTTCCACCAAGCGCGACAGTTTAGCTAGCATTCCCAGCGCCTTAGAGTTCCGACAGTTCAAATCTACGAACAAGAATATCGGAAATGAATTCCTTGGTCTCTGTCTTCCTCGTGATTTGAGCTTGCTCTTCCAGGTGAGTGAAAAGAAATAGAATTTTAAAAAAAGAACAAAGAGTGTTACTGTCGTCAATATCGGTAAAATACCGGACTGCGAAAGTTTTAATGTCATTCCTCTGAAATTTTTGTCAAACTTTACCTATTGGTTTTTTCTCTTAGAAGAACGTAAATTTTGAAATAAAAAAGAAGAGAGGGTGGGGGGTCCCGATCCTCGTTTAGGAGCAGTAATACCTTGGAGATACCCTTATAATTCTCATAATATCATTATAATTATACTAACGAGTACTTGCTACTCTGAGAATTGGTTTATATTTGTTTGACGGAAAGAAGTTATCGCTCAATTCAAAGAAAGAGTGAAAAGGTTAGGTCACCTTGCTCGTTTGCGAGAAAATGATGATTTATCACTATGGTGAGCTCTTGCCATAAAGAAAAAGCTGTCTTTTTAAATTTGCGCTCGCTAATCAAGTGCGCAGTTATACGCAGTGAGGATGTGCCATGGAATTCAACGAAATGATCTCAAGGAAAGTCTGATGTATTAAGAATTGTTCGTAATGACTGACTGACTTACTGGCTCATTGATTTATTGGCTTTCTGATGAACAGACTGTCTGACTCACGGACTGACTGACCGAGTGACTGACCGACTTACTGACGGACTGACTTACTGAAGGACCAACTCTTTGATTGACTTCTTGACTCAATGACCGACTGACAGCATTTGCCTTTGTTGAACTGATTGATTGGTTTGACTGCTCCACAACAGACTGAACCATACGAGTTCCAAGGCTCCTGGGCGGACCATTTCGTGGCTACACCTACTCTTCTTCCACCTTTTGTTGTCAACCCCACACAACGAGAGAGTCATTCCAGCCACGATAAGTCACGCTGCCTCGGCTGCATGTACACAAAATGCGTGGGGACTGGAAGGGACACAACAAAGTCCTCGGATAACATGACTGATGGAGAGTGGACGAAACTACCACCTGTGATGGAGGCAAATGTAAGATGATATTTTGTTTCATTCATTATGTCCTCAGTTCCCCAGCTGCTCTTCTGTCTTGGATGAAAAAGTTACACGATAAAACCCATGAGTTTTAAGTTCAATTTTGACCTTCCTCTTGCCTGCACTTTTCAGTAACAAATCTGCGAACTAGAATGGCAAGCGGTGAAACTTCTTCGTTTGCATGCATGACAGCGATGCCGAGCTCTCGCGAACTTTTCTTTCACCAACGTTTCTTTCATTTGAATGACACCTCACCATCTTCCTCATCTGACTTTGGTTTTTGATCTGCTTTAAGACAGAACAAAGTAACTTTTCTTTCCGATTTAAGGGTGAAAGTGTGAATTCAGCAGTTGCCTTTTCCTTCGCCAAATCGGAAAGTGACTCGTCGGTAACAGCGACCAGCATGTTAGCGAAAGGTAGTAAACTGGATGAAAACACCACCGAAGGAAAACGACTGTTCCGTGCTGAGATCCTGAGAATCGTGACGTCTCTGAGCAGCGTGGTGGCTTCTCGAGCTCATCAGGAAGAACTTATGAAGTAAGTCATGTATTAGGACTGCTCCCTTCCCCTCCCCCTCGCCTGGGAGGCGAGGGGGAGGGGAGGGGAAGGAGGGGGTGGTCCCTTACTTATAGGGCTTACAATGTTCTTTTGATCCCCCCCTCCCTCAATTATTTCTGCAGTGTCCCCCTTTATACGCTGTTAGCCGCGAATGATATTCCCTTCATTTTCCCTGAAACCCATGTGACACCCACCCCAATCCTCGCAAAATCCCCCCCCCCCCCAGGAATAAGCAACCCTGATAACAAAACTATTAAGAGATGGGCGCTGTTCACGTGACTTCGGGGCGAATTTCGTACTGGAACGAAAGAGAAGTGAAGAGAACATTTTTAAGGTTACTAATATTTTTACAGGTTGAGGGAAAAGTGCGCTCTCTTGTTTCAAGATCTTTGTCTTTACTGTGAAGTGTCAGACATTTTGGCTTTGTACAAATTCAAGCTTCACATCAGAAGGTTTATTCAGGGGCTCTTCGCCAATGTTAATTTTGATCCGGTGAGTCAACTTTTTTCCTCCGCAAACTTCATTTCAAGATTCTCAGCACTGCTTTTATGGGATAATGTCTTTTGCTCCAGATGGGTTTAATTTTTAAGGGTTAAGTCTGAGAGTGAAACCCTGACGAGTGACCATTAAAATGAAAGCTTATGAGCCGTAACATCGTGCAGAATGCGTGGGCCTCGTTAATTATTCATAACCGATAAACGCAACCTCGTTTTGAAGAGTCCTAAATTTGAGAAGAATGGGCGAAAACTGGCACAAGGCTTCGTAAAACTAACTTTTCTGAGTTTTAGAAGTGCTTACTTCTAAATCAACGCATGGCTCTTTAAAGATTAAAGATGCGTCTACAATTTGCAGCTAAAATAGAAGATTTTTATGAAGTAGAAGTATTATCATTTTGCGCTTGAAAATACTCAAAATTCGGCCATTTTTAGTATGAAAGTCATTCTCAAGAGCGATTCAAGAGTTTCATGCGAAGCCTTGTAGATAGTGCTTTACTAGTCAGTATGAAAGGTGTACTGTGATAGCTACTGCATATTAGTGTCATGTGGCAAAGTTTATCATTTCATACAGAATTTGTCTTTGTGATAGAATCTCCTAGATGCTCTGAATTATTAGCACATTTCTTGTGTCGGTGAATCTATCTTCCTGACCGAAATTTTTTTTTTTGCCTGGCTCTGACATTTTTTTTTTCGGTGGATTTTCTTTTTTTAACGACTCGATTTTTTTTCCTCTTTGTAGATCATTGAACAGGCGGACTTAGTCCTTGGTAGAGAGCAAAGTGACTCGTCTGCATGACTGGATACCAGACCTTGTTCGTCGTTATTGGAGGAAAACTCTCGCAACTGACTGCATGGCTGAATTCAAGACCTTGTACACTGTGATTGGAGGAAAACTATCGATCACGTGCTCAGCACGCAGGCCACTTGCGTGACTGAATTCCAAACCTAGCTCATTGTGACTGGAGGAAAACTCGATCACGTGCTATACATACGGCCAACATAAAACACCATCAAAACAGAGGCAAGACAATTTTTCATTGTGCGCAGTAATTCCAGAAGCGATAAAAATTTTACGATCGAATCGGCGGATTCTTCAGATCCTAACTTCTCTACTTCCTACCTGGAGATTCTCAAAAACTGTTTTTTTTTAGCCTTTCTTTGCAGGAAAATATGAGAAAAAGTGCAATTAGTCGAGGAGAATGCCCTTAGTGATAACACAATTATACTGCGTTCTTTAACCCAACTGTAAAGATATTTTTCTCCGTTTATGAAGTATGACAAATCTAGCAAATGTTACTTCTGTTTCCTTACTCGTTTATTTACATTTGCATCAGTTTATTTGCGATGTGGTTGCGAGAAGTCTGAATTGATCGTTTGTGCTCTGATGCGCAGGTGATGAGAATTTAAGAACTCCTTTTATTCTTCAACGTTGCTGTAAATGCTTCGATAAGTTCGTTTTTAAAGACAAGATGAAACACACATTCAAACGAAAGAGGCTGTAAATAAATTTAGGTTCAGATATACTGTGAGATGAAAAGCAAGATTAAATATGATTCCTTTCAAGTCTGTGGGTGTTTATTTTACTCGTGTACTTAGATAAAACCGATGGCAAAGATTGAGGGATTTTTTTGTACTATGGGAGACTGAGTCTTCAGTTGATGTTTTCCATCGGCTCATAAACCTTAAAGAAAACGCATGAGGTTATTTTTAGGTCTTGTTCAGCGATGCGGGTTGAGCAGATATTCAACCCATAGTATTATCACTTTGTCGAGAATTGTGATAGGGATTTTGCTGGATTTTCATTTCATTTTCAGTTGGTTTCTGGGAAAAACGAAATAACTCAACTGCATCTCTAGAGGCGTGGAAGAACTGGAACTGAAACTATATGTATATTGCTAATATTGTACGTGTTTCTGCTGGAAAAATTCCACCGTTTTTCTTCGTGTCTCTTTATATGTCAGTAAATTCGTGGCTGGAAAGTATATTTTTTCAGGTTCACTGCGTAAATTTACCTCTGGTATAACATTACTCAAAGCCACTTCAGGTGAGGAGAGGGCACTGGGAACAAGCAGCTCGCGCGTCACCGAAAACAATTGTGTTTGTGACGTCACGATGACGTGAAATTTTTAAAACACGACACAATACCTCTTAATCACTTCTCTTGTTCCTTACGGGAAAACGGTTGTATAGTTTTGTTCAAATTTTATTCAGAATTTCAGCCAAGAGAGCTGAAACATGGAGGAATGCAAAGAAGAACTGGCCTTAACTGACATTTACATGGCTAGAGTGAGAATGAAAAAGAGATTTCGGCCAACTCCATGCCTGGTAAGTTTGTCCTGTTTTTCAAAGTTTTATCGTAAAATTGTAAGTCGTCTCGGTCTACGTTTTCTCTTCATAAAGCATTTAAGCTTGCTCATGTGTCGATGTATATGGTACGGTTAAAACAAGCTATGTGGCTCTTGTCTGAGTAAATATGATTCAGCTAGTCGATCGTATGGCGCGATTTTCTGTAACCAGGAAAAATACGACGCAACTCGCAAAATATCCGCGCGTATTATAAGTAGAACTATTGAATAAGGTGTGGAGTTCTCTTTTCGATTGAGTGTCGTAAAAGCAGAGCCAAACTAAAGACAGCGCCAGTCATAAGTTCTAGGGAAAGTACGTTTTAAAGCTAATGATATCTCAAAGTTAAAACAACCATATTGCCTCAAGTGCGGGAAAACGCAGGCGACCAAGGCGTGAGTTTTGCATCTGATTGGGTTAGAGAGTGGCATCAATTTTCTGGACCAATCACAGAGCAAAGTAACACAAAACTAATGCAATATCGGATTACTTTCGCAAATTAATTGAAAATTGCCCGTTTTGCAACGCTTTCAAACTGATAAGAAAGGAAACCTTTGACCAGAATCTTTTATGGAGCAGTAAAAATACTATAGTATGAAAATATTAATATTTTCAATTTTTACCTTGTATTTTAACAGACGACCTGTTTTGGAGTCGACTTCGGAATTGATGTCCTCGTAAAAGAAGAGAATCTTTCCCCAACCGGCAGGTACTTTTAAAGTGGAAACTAACCTACAACTCCTGAAGTGAAATGTTCTTCACTGAAAGGATATTTTTAAGTTTCTTCAATTAATTGTTAAAAGTTACTTGTTCAAAATTTGGTTTTGTTCTACGACGTCCTGCGATTTTCCCAGAAAACTTGCGCCAGCTTCGAATTCACAACCGATCAGATGATAAATTAAAAACAATCACTATGTAGTTTTCGGCGATCTCCTGCGCTCCTAACCGTTCGCTAGTTTAACTACAAATGCGTTGTTGACTAAGCGTGAGATAAGAATGGCTGAATTTTTTTTTGCGTTTTTATGGACCGAGACGAAGTCGAGGAAATAGAATTAAAAAAAGAAAAAGAAAAAGGCCAATATCCAGCCATCTTGACTTAACAAGCTTGGTCAATAAAAGATTTATGATACAGAAAAAAAGTTTCGATACAATACAAATCAAGAATGACTTGTTTATTTCGAGAGCCGGGAGAGAAGTCGAACTGTGTTTGTATCACAAAAAACTCTTAAGGTTCGTTTAATGTTATCTTTATTTTAACTGTCTTCTGCCGCTTTTTGCGACTCCATCGCCGACATTGTCCAAAAATTACGAACTTTGTAAGTCCATTCGACGTAATCATTTTCTTGTGCGGGATCAAGCTAAGGCGGGTGATACCAACGGGCAAGTTGGGCCCATCATGCTCGCTCGGATAGCCAATTAGAACACAGGATTCGCTTCATACTACCCACGGGCGCTACCGGCTGTGTAAGAAGAGTTTTTACTGACCCCTTGTGATATTACCTTCTGTTCTGATTGGCCTCTGTAACAGACCTCTTGTAGGTTTTGTCATATTTAACTGAAATGCGCTCCACAACTTTTTCCCTGATAGCTCCTTTTTTTGGGAGCTTTATCTTCATTAGTTAAATTATTATCCCTTGATTCTTCAGTTACTTTGACAGAGCAGTTCTAAACTCTCTCCTAGTTTTACCAGAGGTAAGAATACTATGGCTCAGTGAAACGTAACTTAAACAGTTTTCAATTGGTTGTAGGAAAAAGCCGGGATTGTTTCGATAATTGCTTTTTCTCTTTCGCTCTAAATAACTTGCGCTCTTTCAACAAATTAAATGAAAACTTACACCAATCGCTTTTTGTTCAATCACATTTCCTGCCGTCTTACTCCATTATTTGTGTTATCTTTAAGTTCTAATGAATTCTCTGTTTGTAATTTCTCCCTTCCCAAACTGAAGATCGTTGCTGATAAACAGTTATGATAAATTTTCAATCGTAGAAGTTATGCAGAACTAATAGCTCTATCTTCAAGCATAATTTGATCTTCATCTAAAAGAAACCCCTTTTTGCATGAAATTAATCACTTCTCGAGCTGAGGCTTATTTTGGCGAGAAAAAAGACACTCTTTACCACTTTAATTTCGCTTTTACATCTAGAAGTCAATCATTTCTTCGAAAATATCACGATTACTTAATTATACTAATATATAATATTTATTATACCTGTCGGATACAACGTGCGCAATGATTGGTCGATTTATCGAGCCGTATTTCCCTGTACGGCCCTCTAAATTCAAAGATTTGTTTAAATTGAAATTTCCCCCCTCGATTTTAACCCACAGATAAAACAAATAACCTACTAACATCGTTTTCTTGATTCGTACTGTAAGTTACGGAACCTAGTTTTTTCGCTCGAATTTATGGCCCGCGTCCATAACTAAGTACGGACCTTGAACTCGGTTAATAAGAGGGTTATGTAGACCCTAGCATGACGCCATTTCTCTCCTCTCTCTCTCTCTGTTTACATGCAGGATCAGAAACGTCGAGGAGTTATCACAGCATCAGAATGTAGGCCCTTCATCCGAGCACTGTTCTATTACGGGCCCAAACTCGGGATACCCGTGACCGTAGTAGTACCTCTAGGAAGTGAAATTCAGCAACAATTGTTGAGCAAACCTGGAAAGAACATTGTGAGCTGCGGGAGTGATTTAGATGAGGTATCAAAAGTATCCATGGGTACTGAACTTAATCATTAAACAAAACTATTCACCAAGGCTTTAATTTGAAGAGGCAAGTCTTTAAACGGTTATTGAACGTTATAGTAAAGTGAACAAGCATTTGAAAAGAAAAAAAAAAGCAGCAACATCAACACCAACGACAACAAACGAATAAGCGAACGGACAATACGATTATTTGGTTCACAAAACGTGTTTCGAATTCCTTTTTTCAGTTGCGAAAATCTTATATTCAGTTTGAATTTGACTGCGCAATAATACTATAAAATTCCTATTTTTAAATTGTCAAATAAATCAAACGAAATTAAAATCGGTTTATTTACTCACGCACAGCTAAGAATAGCTGAAACAGAAGCAAAAGTGGCTTAATAACAACGAAATAAAAACCACTTTAAGTAAAAACAATCGGGCTTTGTTGAAAGAATGAGTCCTAAGGCGTTTGCGCGCTTTTTGATTTAAGCTTTCCTGGTTGATAATGAACATGAAAAAATTTCGCGCTTCTGATTGGCTGAAAACAAGTGCAGTCTCTAAAACACATGTGCAAAATTGTAACACGAGTGAAAATTGCAAATAGCGCGCGCGCACGCTTTCAAAATTTCCTCTGTCACGCTTTTCGGTGATGTTGTTTCATTCTTTAAATTATCAACGAGTAATAACATGATCTCTCTCGCAATTTGGTGTAATAAGCACTTGCAAATTTTTCAAAGACTATAAATTGCACTCGCCCTACGGGTTTGTGCAATTTTGATGTCTGTGAAAAAAATTACTCGTGCTTATTAACACCAAATTGCGAGAGAAATTATGTCAATACCTATACAAATTTTACTTTAATTCTTTAAATTATTTAGGCAAAAAGATGCGCAGAGGAACTTAGAAGAGGAGTAAGACTGGAATATATAGATAGGTAGGTAATAAAAAGGAATATCAAAGCCGACAGAATTGCAGGCCTCCAGACTCATAGGTATGTCAATACTACGAGTGATAAGCTAATAAATAGCCGCGGGTGGCGTGGAGATTAGTGTTGCCGTTAATTACGATTTCAAAATTTAAGAGGATTAATATTCCTTTTATTAGAATTTATAACGCAGACGTCTTGGTAAGAGATAGTCATTTTCGTCTAAAACTACAGATAGCTTTCATGGAATCGATATTTCCGAGCACACGTTCTGACTGCACCTGAGTGCTCTCTCGTTTTCTTTCGGCAATTATAAATACACATTGCTTGTATAATCCCTTTGAAACTTTTTTTTGTTATGAGTCCTGTTTATACAACATTGTATTTAAAGAAAAATTCAGGATTATCGTCAATCCTTTTACAAATCCACTTACAATTATTCATTTTCTTAGTGACCAAAGCCTCACCATGCTAGCTGGCCTGGGTACCCTGGGGCTCGAGATCTTAGAACAATGTGACTGTAACTTGGACGCAGTTGTCGTTCCTGGGAGTGACACAAACCTTCTTAGAGCGCTAAGATATTCTATAAAAAGGATTTTCCCTCAAATTAAAGTAATGGTAAGTGAGGATATAAATCGCTCCGAGACCTCACATTGTTTTAACACCGTTTCCTTGGTCTGATATGCAAAATATTATTCTTGAGGGCGTAAAAGTCAAGGAAAAAGAGTCTGCAAGAGGTACGTGGAGTATATTGCCTCCTCCCAGCGCGGAAACATATAAAGGTACTTAATGATCAATGAAGCTATGTTTATAGGCTTGCACTTGATTGGCTGTCAAGTTTCTCAACTTAAGCTCTGATTGGTTGGACAAATTTGCACGTGCGTTGTAGTGATTATTATAGTTACTTCATTTACGTAATATCATAGCCTACCCCTGAAGCGATCACACTCAATAACGCGATGGGAATTTGAATTGGGATGATCCGCGGAAGTTAAATGATTTGAACCGCACAATTTATTACCTCTCTCAGAAATAGCCTTAAGTAAAGCGCCATGTCATCTTATCGGATATTATGTATCACAGAACTCCCTTATAGAACTTGGCTACTGAGTAAGAGAGCACATTGACGGTTTGTCTTTGTATCCACGTACTTTCTAGTTCGTCGAGCGTATCAATATCATATCAACGCAATATAAACCTTCTTTCAAACGAAATGACAGTCTTTCGTTTGCTTTTTCCGCTAGATTCGACTGATGCGCTAAACGATGTACTTGAAATCAGGTAAGCATTAGCTACTTTGAGCTGAAGCAGTTCTCTGTTTTTTTTTTTTAATTTTTTAAATTTATTTTTATTTTATTTTCTGGTAATATATGTCACGCCAAATAGCATCGCGGATGCCTTCCAGAATTTACGGGGCGGCTTTCTTTAAATTAATTTCTTGGGGCTTTATTTTTGGATCGTAGGAAATACGGGTCATTTTGCATTGACAATATTTAAGCCTTCGAGTCCAGAAATAAAATGAAAATAGAAATCCGTTCGTTTCTTACATCAGCGACGTGCACATTTCAAGAACGGTCTTACGAGTTTTGGAAAAGAAAGGTTTCCTCCTTACTACGGAGGGTGTGTCAGGAATGGCAGCTTTCTTAACCGGAAAACTAACTCAGCTGAGAAATGGACGGTAAGTGGATTAGAAATTTAAACTTGGTGACGGTTACATGAGGAGCAGGGGGGACTTTGTTACTTTAAATTAGCTTTAGACCGTATATGTCCAAAGACTTGAAAATTCATTCGACTTGATTTTCCTCATGTTTTTTTAGCAGCGGTAGTAATGTCATCTGAAAAAAAAATACACAAGATTAGCTAATTTCCTCAACGAACATCGTGAAAACTTTAGAACTTCTACAGCGGTGATTTTCATAAGTTTAAAAATTTAAGTGAAAATTCCACTCCCTAAAATTAACTCATTCACTCACTTCCCGAACCCTCACCTTTGATATTTTATAAAAGATATATTTACAGAATTGAACCGTTTAACTAGGTTACAACATTTTTAAAATGAAAGAAAATCACCGAAAAAGACGATTTTTAAATATCTTACTGAGCTGTGAAGACAGATGAATCAGAATTTAAACGCTCTCCGTTTGATAATTGTTTGTTTATTTCTTACAGATTGGTGGTGGTATTTTCCGAGTCCTGGTTACCCAGTCTTCTCCAGTTGGAACAGCTCATCAATGAAGGCCTGGCTAAAGGTGATAGATATACTAGTGTCCCCACCCCTGTTGCAGGGGACGTACTCATCGAGTAACTGAAGTCAACTACTGAGGGCAGACTGGGAACGAAAATAGATTACCGCGACTGGACAGGATTGACAGCTCACAAAATTGTTATCATCTCCCATCAGGCTATGTGAGAGTAGCAGTATAGACGGCAACATATCAATCATTTACCAACATAGGTCTACAATGCTGAGCTCAGCTTTGTTCTAGTACTTGTAGAAAATTTTGCATCGTGACAAAAAGGTTGATTGACTAAAGGAACTCTTGAGTTTCCAAAAGGAAAGAACTTAATTGAGGCAGTTCAATACATATAAGTTATGAGTTCTTGACAACTGTTATGGAAGAGAAGTGATGTATCATGAAAAACTTGTGAAAGAGGTAGGTCACAAGACAGTAATATGACGATAAATTTTAAAATCAAAACTATACTTGCACAAACCCAATAAGCTTCAAGCTCCTCCACAGTGATCTGTATTAAATATGAAGATTTCAAATTATTCTTAAGGTGTTTGTGAGGTGATCTTGAAGCATGCAATATTTCCTTGAACTCCATGCAAAATGTCCAATCCAACACTGATTCAAAGGCATTACACAAGAGGACAATTAAGTGTAGAGTGACACTTAATTTATTGATGAAATTATCCACCAATCAATTTGAAGCTTCAGCATCCTACTGTGCAACCTGCAGGTATTTGACTATTGCCTCTACCCACCTCTATCTACCTCTACCCTTCCAGGGGGTGGGAAATTTAAACCTTGCCTTTAAGGGGTGACCATTTGTGAATTTAGGTTGCCAAATGACGTAATTAATTTAAAAATCAATTTCTTAGTTTGGCAATAACCTCTTTCAATCTCATGACTGTAAAAAAAAATTCAGCAGTATTACTATGAGATTAAATTAGATGCTGATCACTCCCTGATTTAACAAATTTCTTCATAGGATTGAAAAGTAATTTCAGAAAAAGTGCTGATAATCTTTTACAGAAAAATAAAATGTATTTTTCATTTTTTTTGTATGTGGTAAAACCAGATTAACTGCAACTTCATTTGGCAAAATTCCCTTTTTCAACTCTCTAACTCCCAATATCTCACTAGCAATTCTCATTACTGTCTGCCATATAGTTCTTGTGCTGTTAATTTGGAGAATTTGGTATTGGATCAACTAATAATCCCCTAGTTAATATTTTCCTTCATTCTAGTCACTTATCTGCTTGATATTATATTGATATTGTAAGGAGAAATTCTGTCTTGGTCACTCATGGGAGTTAAAGAGTTAACTTAAAGTTACATCATAGTTCCTTATAAACGTTATAGACTTCATATTCATCAGTTATTGCCATATTCACGTGCTTGTCAATAAAATTCTCAAGACCTAAAGGTGAATAATGTTGACTCCAGAACTGAATCACTTTGCCTGCCCTACTCACAAGATACTTGGCAAAATTCCACTGAGGAGTATATTTTGCACTTGCATAAAGATACTTGTACAAAGGATGAGCCCCAGGACCAACAACTTTGATCTTTGAAAACACCGGAAAGTTCACATTGTATTTGTTCTTAACAAATCTGGCGATACCACTATTCCTCAGGGGTTCCTGTTGGCCAAACTGATTGCATGGAAATGCAAGGATGTTGAAATCATGACTATCAAACTTTGTCTGTAGTTCAACCAACTCTTTGTAATGCTTATCTGTGTAACCGCATTCACTGGCAACATTCACAATCAACAACACCTGAAAACAAAAAACAAACATCAGATTGAGGAAATAAAAAATTAACTCCTAGACCAAATTTGATATTCTCCTTACTGCCAACCACACAATTCTTATGATGTTAGTTCAGACAATTTAGTATTGGATCAACTAATTATCCCCAAATTAATAGTTTTCTTTACTCTCATCACTTGTCTGGTTGCTATTGTATTAATATTGTAAGGAGAAATTCTATGTTAGTCACTCCTGGAAGTTAAAGGGTTAAGGTTTTAAGGGTGGGGAAGAGAGTAACAGCGGCCTATTTTTTCAAGAGATATTTACTCCAGAAACCATGTCGTTTGAAAAATCTCCATTAAAAATTATTTATTGAATTACTGGGTACTATGCAGATTCCAAAAGTCATATAAACTTACAAAACTTTCTTCAAATGTACAGTGTACCAATATGTAATAAAACCAAATACCTACCATGTTAGACATGATTTCTGGACTGTTAAGTCATTGTTTGGAATCTCCAAAGCCATTGGAAATTGGTAATTTTTGTAACTAATACTTATCAAATGGTGAAGATAGAAATGCGTTTTTCAGCAGATGTTTCTTTTAGTTCTCAGAGCTGGTAGAAAATTTCTTTTTTAATTTTTAATTAATTTTTTTTTAATTTTTTAATTTCATCTCTCCACCACAGTGCAAATATATGAATTTTTATATATCTAAAATCATCATGTCAGATCTTATTACAATTTCCACATGACATAGCATTCAGGATAGGATTCTAGTCCATGATGGGTCATTTTCCCCCTTCCCACCCCTCCCATATCCCTACCACCCCATCAATTAGCCAAAGAATGCAGCAAAATGACCTTCCTACAGCTTGATCTTCATCCTCTTAGTCTGCAGTCCAGTCCAGTCTACGTATTACCAAGCCTCTGTGTCTTCATCACAGGCCCACATTGGCTCGACTGTCTACTGCATGCAATTTGAAATATTCAGTTCTAAGCAAATTTGGGATGATAGAAACCAAGGACGTTACCAGAAGAACCGCTCCAAAAAACCCTTAAAGCAAATATCTTTAGTCCATGCAAAAACGTGTGGAGAGTCAGACAAGTCTGATAGAGCTTTTGCGACGTGGCAGAAACATTCTTAAAGTTCCATTCGTGACAACAAACAGACATTGTAAATTGTACGTTGCAATGCTTGTGTGCGAACTCAATTTGAAAGCCAATTTTCTAAATCGCTGTGTTGAATACGACCACCGAATCTCATTTTTAAGGGCAGCTGCTTATGGTAGATTCATACGAAAGAATTAACTCACACGAACTAAATCTGTATGACTACATACAGTCGTAACTTGAGCATCGCCTCGAAAGGAAAGTTTATTTTTACAAAATACTGACCTTTCCTTTAAACACACTCATTGGAACGGCATTTCCCTTTAAATCTTCTACAGTTAAAGAATAAAAATCCGAAGATTCAATCAAATCTACTCCGAAGCCAAGCGACACAATCAGGCTGAACTGCCAGACCTCCATTTTGCGGGAATTTCTTATTCCTTTCATTCATGAGGGGGACTAGAACTGAGCAAGTTGTTGCTACGACAACGTTACTGGGAACAGCTGTTTTGAGCTGTCAAGGTGATGGCCAATCAGAGTAGGAATATTTTTTATTGTCCAATCAGAGCTCGACTTTTCGAATTGAGCGGTCCATTTCAAATTATGAATCTATATGTTTTGTTAAGAAACGCTAATTCTCACGGACTCTTATTGATGTTAATAAGAAAATATATTCCACGATCTGCAAAAAACCATGTCGCATTTCAGTTTTCATAGTGAAGTGAATGATCTCTTGAGACTAGATGCTCCTATCAGCAAAGGACCGGTTCCGCGATGGCAGAGAAAGTCAACAGAACGTCGCTGTTCAAGTGCGACTTCAAGCACACCGCTTCGCAACTCGTCAAGGTTAAACTTGAGCAAGACGCCGTCGAAGACACCGAAATCTCTCAAGAAAACGCCCAAGACACCTTCTGAGGACAGATTTATTCCTAATCGAAGTGCTATGAATTTTGAAGCGAGTTATCACAAGATGATCTCAGCTGATACCGAGAACGAAGAGAACGAATGTATCAGTCCTTCGAAAGCCGAATTCAAGAAGAACATGGCCGAAAATCTTGGTGTCGGCGAAGCAAATGCTAGAATTCTTGCCTTCAAGAGTAAAGCACCAACAACGAAAGAAGGTAATATAACATTTGATAATAAAAACGTTAAATTAGAGAAGTAAACCCGCGATCATATGTTTGATCGTCTTGTTTTTCAACTTCACTTACAACTTGACATGCTTTCATTTTTTTCCTTAATATTCACATGGAGAAAGATTTATTGATTGAATACATGTGTCACGTGCTGCTTCTTACTTTTTTCTACTTTACCGATCTTTTATTTTTCAGGCCATTTGAATGATCTACGCGTGTTGTACGGTCAGAACAAAACTCCCTCCACTTCGACCAAGAAGAATGCAAGGCATATTCCTCAAGTTCCTGAGAGAATATTAGATGCACCCGATCTTATTGACGATTACTGTAAGTTAGTAACGAAATAAGAAATTATATGGAAATTAGTCGAAGACAATATGTTTCGCTTTCAGTTTATTCAATCTATCGCACGCCGTTTACTCAAAAGTACGTTTAAAATAAAGATTTGAATGTCAAGGTGAAGGTCATTAAGTTCTCTCAAGGTCACACGTGAACAAAATACTGTCAAGGTCACACGCGGATAAATACCACTTAAATTCTCCTCCTCTTAAATTAATCCTCTTGAGAGACTTCCAACTAGTCATGATTATAAAAATCGACTTGCAGAAGTTAAGACAAGTTACAGAAGTTTTTCATCAACTCGTTGTTAATTTAGAATTTTTGCTTTCCTGTGACATCTAGCTCAGCTGTGTTGTGGTGACATGAGATTTGATGGCTTTCAAATGCTTTTAACCAATCATATAAGGAGTATGGTTGCTTTAGGAGATTACCTTCAACTTGACCTTAAGAGCTCTCCACCTGTGTATAACTCAGTTTTAATTGAAGTCCCTTGATGTATGTGTGATTTCATTTCAATATTTTTTCTGAGAAAAAAAAGTACAAATGTAAGGTTTGATGCATCAAAAAGCTGGTTTTCTCGTTAAAGTTTCAAAATTGTTGATGAATCTCAGAAACTGTGACCCTTGAAATAGATTATTTTTAAGCAAACTAAACCATCAGTGTGAAGTAACTCCAAATATTCTTCAGGTTTTTGGTTTGCTCACATGTCCTGATTTCCGCATTGTTGGTCTTAAAACAAGGAGAATTCCAAAATGTCTTATACGTTGGTTTCCTGAGTTTGTCGTGAAAACTGATTGCCACATTAAAGTACCTTGGTTTATCTGAAGACTAAAATTCTGCAGATAATGCATTTTCACTCAGTCCTGTCATCTGTTTCTGCCCATTTGCACTAGTAAATAGTCTCACTGTGCACTTTAAATTGACCAGCCCCTACAGGTCCACTCTGTCACAGGACACCCTTGAGTGCCCATCTTTTAAAAGTTAGAGAAGAAAGACAAAAATTATTAAGCCTTTCCAACTGAACATTGGCTTGCGTATTCTCCTTACTGGTCATTATCCATTTCCTTACAAAGATTAATCATTTAAGTATAAAGATAATTTTTTAGTTGGCAATCATTTCTTTTATTCTCATTATCTTAACTCTTTAACCCCCAAGATCTCATTAGTAATTCTCCTCACAGTTTCCAATACAGTTCTTGTGATGTTAGTTTGGAGAATTTGGTATTGGATCAACTTATAATCCCTAACTGATGTTTTTCTTCATTCTCATCACTTTTCTGCTTGATATTGTATTGATATTATAAGGAGAAATTCTGTCTTGGTCACTTATGGGAGTTTAAGGATTTATGTTGAATTCAGAATGATACTTCTGGATGAAGTAAGATGCTTATCACTCACTCTAAGGGGCTAAAGTTGTGAGTAGTCCCTTCATTTTGTGCGCATGCAATGCGAGACTGAAAGAAATGTGTTTACTTATTGATTTTTCAGATCTGAATCTCTTAGACTGGAGTTGTAACAACCACTTAGCTGTCGCTCTTGGTGGTTTTGTTTACTTGTGGAATGCAGCTTCAGGTGATATTGTACAACTGTGTCAAACTGAATCACCAGACTGTTATATTGGAGCTGTGTCTTGGATTAAAGAAGGGAATTATATTGCTTTGGGAGACAGTAATGGTGCTGTGCAGGTATCCAAATGTTCCTTTGGTAGTTAAACTTTATCTTAGATGCTGGTAACTCTTAGAGGTCAATGGTTAATCAACAAGCACTATTTTTCCTACAGTTGTGGGATGTAGAGGCACAAAAACGTGTACGCAGCATGTCAGGGCATTCTGCTAGAGTTGGTTGCTTGTCATGGAATTCATATATTCTATCAAGGTGAGTTTACAAAAAGTGAACTCTGAGGAGTGAACTGACTTATTGTTAAGTTATGCACTGTCCTACAATTAGGGTATTAAACCCTTTAACTCCCAAGATCTGATTGTGAATTCTCCCCTGTAGCTACTACACATAAATCCCTAAATTAGTTATCAGAACTTGGTGCTAGATCAAGATAGCAGCTTCCACCTGATGAGTTTGAATATTCTCATTACCTGTTTGCTGAAGAATGTATATATATTGTAGGGAGAAGTTTTATGTCAATCACTTCTGGGAGTTAAGGGTTAAGGTAATAAAAATATAGAAAGTTACAAACTCATTGATTACTACCAAATTGATAATAATTTCTTAAAACTGCAAAAAAATAAAAAGAGCAATTGAAGAGGATGAGTAAATAAATAAAGGAACAAGGAAGAGTAGGGGTAACTTGGAAAGGGGTTATTTAGAATTCAAGGTAAATGTATAATTTGTCTTTGTTAAATTTTGTTTCTTGAACACCAGGCCTCCTTAGAAAATGCAATGAAATTGCTTTTGTTTCACAACTTCTTCTTTCTTTTTTTTCCTATTTCCCTGATTTCCTACATTCTTAATTTCCTTTTCCCATCTTTACAAATTTGATAAAAGGCTACCAACAGAATTATAGGATTATTCTATTTATTATGAATTTATTATCAGTGGGAGCAGAAGTAGTGCCATTCACCATCATGATGTTCGTGTCGCAAATCATCATGTTGCAACACTTGCCAGACATACGCAAGAAGTGTGCGGACTGAAATGGTCACCTGATGGCAAATATCTTGCTAGTGGAGGAAATGATAATCTGTTGGTGTTATGGGATGCCAATGTCAACACAAATAGTAACACCAATACGCCGCTGTTCACCTTCAATCAGCACCAGGCAGCTGTTAAGGTTTGTATGTAACTTTTTCTTTATTTTAGACACGTGTCCAGATTTTAAAATTTTAAAAGTTATTTTAAACTGAAATAAAATTTAATGGAACTAGTTCCTTTGAATTTTTGTCTGATTTTCAGTCTGTTGTAATGTGGCTTACACATGAGCCTCTGGCTTGGATATAGTGGTTGTGGGTTCTGGGCATTCAGTGAGATAACCAAGTGTAATTGTAAACTAGTGACAGAGAAATGAAAAATGAGGAGGTCTGGGTTGAGTTGCAATGTGGCTCTTCAAACCTCTCTGTTTGGTTTTGTTTTGGTTTTTTTGTTTCCCCTCCAATGCTTAGTTACTGTATTGTATACTATCTTCCTCCACTTTCCTGACTGAATGCTTGGAACCGTTCAATATAGAAGGAACCCATAAGTTTTCCACTTTCTGACTTGATAGAATGAAATGATTGATTGACTGATTTGATTGACATGTCAAGTAATTTCACCTTTTTTTAAGATGATTTTTTTTTTACAAATCACTTAATAAATGACAATCACTGACATAGAAAGTGATCCCTCCTCAGAATAATCTCTATTTAACTACTCATAGCACCTAATAGTCCTTTCTGAAATGCCATATTTGATAAGAAAAATTGTTAGTTTACAAAACATTTTTTTTCTGGTTTATTTTCAGGCACTTGACTGGTGTCCATTTCAACGCAATGTACTTGCTAGTGGCGGTGGAACTGCAGATCGACACATCAGGTTTTGGAATGTTGCTACTGGAAACTGTCTCAGCAGTATTGACACTCAATCACAAGTAATTCACCCTTTATATCCTACAATATTTTCTAAACAAATCCAAATAATACTGACAAGGAGAATGTTTAACAATCAAGAGCGTATTCAGTTATCAGTGATTTCCTTTTTACCTATAACGTTAGACTATTGGATTAAAAATTGGATCTTGACCATTCTTTACGATCAAGAAGAAGAACTCTGCTCTACAATGGCCATGTAACCCAGACAGGATAATTTGGTGTTATCAACTGGGTTAATTAACCCTTTAATACCCAAGAGTGACTAGCATCTAATTTCTCTTTACAATATCAACCTTGAATCAAACATTAAGGTAATGAAAATAAAGGAAATGATCACCAATCAAAACAGCTCTTGATTATTAAACAAATTCTCTTTGTCAGCACGTTAGGAGATGTATAGTGTATAGTATGGAGAATATGGCTACTGATGTTAGGGCGTAAAGGGTTCGTAGATGTAAATTGGTAGTGTGTACAGCCCCCTGCCCTCTAAAGAAAATTGGGAAGGGGGCAGCTGTAAAAGGCTGGTAAATTGTCCACTGTAAAGGGTTTCTATAGCTGATCTTTCCAGCCATTATTACTTATTAGTCTTTCCTTTATTCCCTTTGACAAAGGGCCAGTGTTATGACCCCTGAATGGGATGCCAGTTTACCACAGGGATACCCTCCAGCATGTTTTCAGGTCATGGGTGGGGCAGACAGTGTAAGGATTGGATGTCTTCCTTTCATAATTAAAATGTCCTGCCTATGTGATTAACAAGTTAATGACCCAGCCTATTGAGCTAAGGAGGATTTTTCAGTTTTATGGCCCTCGTGCACATATTTTTGTAGAATATTTTCCAGTAGAAGCCCATATGGGAATGCATGGGTTATGAAGTAAATGAACGCATGAAGAAATACCGTCATGATGCCTGGTTATAATCTTCTTTTCCTAGGTGTGTTCTATATTATGGTCAAAAGAATACAAGGAACTTGTGTCCAGTCATGGTTATGCACAAAACCAGCTGACTGTCTGGAAGTATCCATCAATGGTCAAAGTAACTGAGCTGACTGGTCACACATGTCGTGTCCTTCACATGGCCATGAGTCCGGATGGACAGACAGTTGTGTCTGCAGCAGCTGATGAAACTCTTAGAATATGGAAGTGCTTTGCTTCTGATCCTGTAACCAAGAAAAAATCCAAGCCTAGTGTGCCAAGCGGGTCATTGGTACACAGAGGCATTCGATGATAAAAGTTTTATAGTTATTTAGCAAAGTTTTTGAAATTTGAATTATTAGGTAATTATTCAAAAATTACTGTTTCTAAGGTATTTCTCCTTTTGCTTCCAACATATTCCTATGGAGTCATTTTTGACAGTACAATTATTTGTTAGCATTTTATAACATTTGCAAATCATTAACTTATCACAAGAAAGCAGTGATGACATTTTGCTGACTTACAAAAATTTTGTACAGTGTTAATTGTTTAGTATTAGTTATAAGAATCAGCTCTGCAAAATTGGTTAAAAACACTGTTAGACATATTTTAAAATTTACAATAAAAGTAATATTATCAACCTTTGTGAGTTGAATCATGAAGTTTGTGAATGAAGCAAAAATTTATGGTTAGGTTGGCACAAATAAGCATAAAAAATGCAATTCTAACCCATTCACTAGACTTATGAGCAGTAACTGCTCTTAGGCGAAGTCCATCTTGCAAATCGCAAAAAAATCAGTTAAAATAGCTTTTTACATATCAATACATCATTAAGCCAAAAGGTCATCCAAATCCCTTGACATCCTCATGCTAATAAGGTTGTCTGATTATTCTCAATATAGTTTTGGCAACTTTTCCCCAGGCTCCCTCATCATTGCCCTTGTTATTGTGGGGGTATTGAACAATAGTCATGTTTTATTAACAAAGTCAATAAAAGAAATTGGTCCCTGTAAAGAGTTTCTCGAGCGGACCTCTCGAGCGTCAGCCCTACGTCGATACTTCAGCTGTAGAAATCCTTTACGGTGGCCAATTTACATTATCACTTCAGTTGATGAAACCAAATTATCTTTAAATATATGTATTTGTTAATGAATAGAAAAGGAAAGACGGTAAATTTAAAGCTCCGTTATAAAGTAAAGAAAGATATTTTTCCTTCGTCATACAAGCGTGGGACAAAGAAAAAGTAAAGCTTGCCATTCGAGAACGGAAGTCGAAATTCTGGGGCTCTAATCCTCATAGAGGCACGCCCTCGTTACGAGACCAAAGAAAAAAAAATTATTTATTGTACCGTTTAACCCCACTTTTCGTAAGCTATCTCATCCGCAATAGAACGCTTCAAGTCCAGGAAATCGATGTCACAGTGGAGCCAAGTGACGCCTTTATGTATTCAGGTCATAAACAGGTTAGTTCAGCTTACTTGCTACACGTAAAACATGTCTCATGCGAGGGGGTTTGGTGAAATAATATACTTGAAGAAGTATATTATTGGCTACTGCGCTGTGATTGGCCAATCAAACTCCCAATATCCTTTGCTATTTATCTACGAGAAACGTGGGCAGAATTTGCCAGAAGCCAACGCAACTTTGTGAATAGTTGTTAACGATGAATTTCATCTCCAGATTCAATTTCGTCTGCTGCCAACTGGCGATCACAGGCTCAAGTTCAGTTTGTACCCTCTTTACGCCGGCTTTTTTACTCTTCCCAAGCTGCATTTCAAACTGCCTCGCTTTCAGGTTAGCTGGGATGAACATGCGCAGAAATTGGTTCAGACCAATGTTTTTATAAAGGTAAGAAACTTTTTTTATGTCCAAAACGTGAAAAAATGAAAATATTTTGCAACGCGTTGGCAGAACATGGGATAACGGTCAAATTGGTTTGTTATATTTGTTAACACTATTATCATTTCTAATTCGGTTCACTAAATTAATTATAATTATTCAAGTTTTTGATTACCATAACGTCAATGATTCTAACCGCCACACAGGCTTCTCGCTGAAAGGCTGTATCCTTTAACCCTTTCACTCCCAAGATCTCTTTATGAACTCTCCTTACTGTCTGTCTTACGATTCTTTAGATGTTAGTTCGGAGAATTTGTCATTGGATCAACTGATAATCCCCTAATTGCTAATTTTTTATTTATATTGTTTTGATATTGTAAGGAGAAATTCTGTCTTATGTCACTTATGAGGACTTCCTGACTTGAAAGTGGATGTGAATTCTCAGGCCTCTACGGCCCTGAAACGAAAAAACAAAGCAAAAAAAACAAACAACAAAATAAACAGCAGCATTAATCTTGTTGGAAGGGATGGCTGTGTAATGTGTTATTACACAGCGTCGACCGACTGTCTGAACAAATCACACATACCAAAAATTTATTAGTTATCAGTTTTAAAAGTTAGCACGTAGGATATCCTTACGAAAACAGGTCCAAAAGTTTTTTAGTACAACTAGCGACTGGAACACCAGTGATTAGTCATAAAATGGATTAGTCACAAGTTTTAAAAGTTAGCATGTAGGATATCTATGCAAAATCAGTTATAGATTTTTTTTAAAAATTTTATTGTGTTTTTCCGTTTTAAATTAAAAAAAAAAAAAAAAAAAAAAAAAGAAAATTACAGCAGTATAAAGTAAATAAAATTGTATAAGGTCAGTAAATAAATAAATAAATAAACAAAAATATTAATACAAGGCTACCCAAGGTAAAGTTATTTCAACTGAGTGATTGTAAAAGTTTTTCCCATTTCATTAAGGGCAGGTTTAGTTTTTTCTTTTCTTTAGCTTGGTATTCCTCTATTCTAAAAATTTTTTTAAGGTGCGCGAGGAAGATAATAAAGCTTGGGGTAATAGATTTCTGTCTGCAGAGAAAGATGGTCTGCTTCGCTATTAACATGATGTGATTTAAAAGCATAAAGTGATTATCGACATCAAATAAGCCAAACATAATATTAATTTGATCTGTTATCAGTTATAGAGGTTTTTACCATAATTAGCAACTGAAAATCCAGTGGAAAACTCATTTATAACGTGTCTGTTATCACACAGCCTCGAGGCCGGGAATTGGAATCTGAGAAGAAGCCTGGTTACGAGTACTAAAGATAGCTAATGGAACAGTGGAGACTGGAGGCAAGCTTTCCAGTTATAGTCACAATAGGATTTTAAGCAGCAAAGTGATGCAGCGGAGATTTGAACCGCTGTAAACTGCCAGCCACATGAAGGAAATGCTTTAGTGGGGGCTTTTGTCCACTGACTGGTGAATTGCAGGGTGTTTAAGGCCAAACAACTCTGTGGTTAACAGATACGCTTACGTGTTTTTGCGCGCATGTCGTACTGATATCACGTAGAATCAGTTGCACTACTTCCTTTGGGTGGATTAAGAAATTAAGAGTAGCACTATTACATGGAACGACGACTTGCTTGGCGATTTTTGCACCGTTTTTTAGTTTCTCTCTGTTGTTGACTTGGGGTGACATGTTTCTAGTTTTGTTCATATTTAACCCTTGAAATTTCGGGTGGAGCGCTTTTTGACTAAGTGTCGTAAAACTGAAGTCAAAGTAATCCCTACAGCCAATCAAAAGAAAGAAAATACTTTGAAGAGCCAAAGAGAAATCAAAGTGAACACAACCAAACTGTCTAAAGCGCGGGAAAACACGGGCGACCAAGTCGTGGTTAATTTTAGTTTTGCATCTGATTGGTTGAAAGAGAGTGGCCCAAGTTTTCTGGATCAATGACAGAGCGGAGCAAAAAAATGTAATCTTGGATTGAAAGTTGCCCTATGAGCTCAAGATTTCTTTCGCGTGGTCGTTGACGTGGGCCAAGCCTGAATCAATTATCACACAGAGAAATCAAAAGCGAATAATTTAACTGTTTAGTTGAACTTCTAAGTTGAACTCGTTCAAAACTTAACAACGAAACAAGCTCATTGTTTTTTTTAGACACCTGGACAGTATGAGGCTACGTAGTTGTGTAGCCAATCAGATTGCAGCTTTTGTGAATTTCTACTGATATATGATTTATGATAATTATTTCTGTGAATTTATAGCTTATACCGTCGATTTTTAAAGAAGTTATTGTTCCTTAGCAAGGAAATTGTTAAAAGTCAACATACTCTCAGTCATTTAAACTTAACTGGAAATAATAATGGGAAAAAACATAACAACAACAAAACAAACAGGCAATACAAAAATGTTTAAACCACGATGAACGACTAAAATTTTTTCGTGATCACGTTTACATGATAAGTGCGGTGACCCGCCTAGGCGGGTTGCCCGGTCTGCTAGGTAGGGTAACCCCTTTCAGCCGGGGTGATAATTTGCCATGTAAACGTCTCAAGGTGGGATAACCCACCTACCCAGGGTCGCGTTCATGGCAACAAAAAGCTGAAAAGTGAAACACGTATGTCTTAAACTTTGTACATTTCCTGTACCACCCATCAGGAACAAAATGCCCACGCAATAATGGTGTTGTTTTACCTCTACGATGCTTTACAGACTACAGAGTTCTTCAGTAATTTTATGTCTAAAATTCGTTTCAGTTCCTCTGTACTCGAAACCATTTCCATTCAATGCTAGTAAGTTTTCGTTTTGATCGTTAATCTATGAATTAAAATTGCAAATATTTCCTCGTTCTGTCCGTTTAAACTTCCGTTTATCAGATATCTTATTGCTGACGATAAAACCTGATCCAAATTTTCTACATCTTCTGGAATTGATCACCATGCAATCAGTAGAGGGCACCGCTAAAATAGTTTAATTTAGCTCTAGGGGCTTGGAAATATCTGAAATGACTTGATTCGGTTTGCGCTTGCCACCCACCAAAATTAATCCAAATGTTTGGACACTTACAGAATTTGGTTTTCCAAGAAGATTTGCAATGAGGTCTGTGGTCTCCTTATTAAACTCTGCTGGAACATCCTTAACATTTGTTTTCAGATCGAAAAAAGGAATCTTGAATCAAAGAAGGTTTTCTCTAAAGTAAACTGCCTCCTTCGCGTGACACTACAAAGTAACAGACACCGATACGAGAAGATATGTCATGTAAGACAATTTAACTGTCCTTAGTTCTTAACAACAACCAGACAGTTCGTCCAATCTACTCTCCTAGACGTAATTAGTCGAGTCCCTTCTCCAGAACAACAGTTATGATGTCTTTTCGTCCCTTTCGCCTTTCCGATATTGTTAATTTCCAAAGTGTCCTTGTAATCTTCCAGACCAACAGTAAAGGGGGCAGGAGAGGCAGTAAGCTAAGCTTCCCAGCTGATATATCGATAGGTCAGCGGTAATGATCATGTCAACTCTAAATCTTAGGTCTAAAGTCTAATACTACGATGAACTAGTGTACTTTATTTTACCTAATAAGCCAATCTTTTTTATTGAATGAATAAAGGGGGCAAGTTCTAGACAAGCTGTGTTGCTGCGTCGGTGGTGGAGTAGAGCAAGATAATTTGGTCGTATCAACTGAGTTGATAATGAAAATTGGCCACCGGGTTCCCGACCACTGTAAAGGGTTTCAACGTTTTAAGCGTTGGCCTTTCGTCGGAGCGAATTTGGAGTTGAGCTGTTTAAGGTAGTCTTGGTATCTATCT